CACGGAGAACCCAATAGGCAGTGTGTCCCGGTAAGGTAGCTCAAAGGTCTACGAGATCCTGTAAGCTTCAATGGTGGACGTTGACTGCAGGTGTTCATGGCCAAAGCTATAATTCCGCAATCCCGGAATTGTGAGACCCGCTACTACATGTATGTTCTAGCTTAACGCTTATGAACGGCTCTTTATCCACAGCGCCATCGTAGTCTGCCATGTGATCGAAGACGCGAGGCTAGACGTCACCTAGCCCATAACCTGATTGAGACTAAATATCCTACATTGCCGGGGAATAAAGGATTCCATCCACAGCGAGCGAGCGCCACTGCTAACTGCATTCGAATGCCAAGTCCAGGACCTACTTACGAATTTCAGGAGAAATCAACGAAACCCCTGGTTCCTGCAGGTATATGTAGGGATGATTTCGTTACACATACGAGAAGAACAGTGGATGTCTTCCTCCAGGCTAACAAAATGCAGTCAGTTCTCCCCCGAAACAGCTGCAATAGTGCAGGTGTAGCTAGTTCAACATCGCTTGCCCAACCAGCGTGGTCGACAACTGTAGGAATCTTCCTCGACTCTTATGCCAACAGAGACGTAGGGAATACGACCCTGGAATCTCTCGGAAATGAGTCCAGTAGGACCGGAAACCCTTTCATATTAAGAGACGATGTTGAAAGCGTCGGACCCGATCCGGAAGAAGAGTCCTCCGTTGAAATTGGGAATAGATGGCTTCGGGACCCGCATCCACACTGGGGGACATCACTAATATATGACTCCAGCGATTCGGAAGAGCCTTACATTGAGTCTGGGAACAAGCTTCGTCAAGCTTCGAAACATGACTCGTTGCCAACATTCCTGAATGAGTATGATAGAGTGCAAGACCTTTTGGTCAACGGTGAGAATGAAGATGACACATCATGCTGGCCCCCAAGACGCATGGAGTCAATGAACATACACACCCGCACTAAAACCAGATTGTAAGTTCGTTTCTTAGTATTCCTGTGTGCGACAACCGAGGATTGCGCTGACTTTAGCATGCAGAAGGCCAGCAAGAACGTACAGGCATGCGTTCAAAAAACCAAGCTTGTGGAGAGCTGGACCACTGGCAGAAGCTGGGGCTTGGACACAAAGTTCGAGCAAGCCAATACAGTGGGATTCAGACGACTCGAAGCTTGGAGAGCGAGCTAGCTTCAGTACAACTTCAGGCTTGGTCTTTGGCGCAGCATTGATCAACCGATCTCAAGCAAGGCTTTCCTCGAAGGCCTGCAGCTCAAGTAGCGACGCCGGTGATGATTCCTCCTCCGAGGATATTCGGCAATACGAGGAATGGGATATAGAACATGACAGTCGTAATCTGAATAGGTCGATTCGAAAACTGCTCTCTGATAGGAGAGACTATGCCGATGCCATTTACACTCCCCTTCAACATCAGATTCGAAGATCCAGAAAGCACAGAAATCACTCCCTAAACGGATCAGTATTGACATCCAGGATCTTCAACACGTTGGGCAATCAAGCAGAGTACGAGGCTGCCAATGAAGGAAGTCCCTCGGGGGGGAAGCGATCGACGGGCCTACGGACAAGAGCGGGCAGCTCAGCAACATCTGTAAGCTCGTTTAATATGTCTCATACACCTATGAGATTCAAGAGAAACAGGGATGACGATGAAGAGGAAGAGAATGAGCAACAGGAATCGTCGAGCAAAATGCCTCGTCTTGACAAGCATTGGCTTTGTCCATACGGTGTGAGGTATCAGAATTTGGCGCGTGGGGCTTGCCGAATGCCGACCAAGTTTAGGTCGTTTAGCGATTTAAAGTGAGTTGAACGACTGGGGCCCCCGGAAATCATTCGGTGCTGACTGCAATAGGGACCACTTAGGTTCAAGACACCTCAACCATACGAACGCGCGCGCACATCCTGAGCTTCTTATGTCTGAAGAACAATATAAAGCCATAGAGACAGCTGCCAGAGACGCGAACTCAAAGAGACACAAGAGAGGCACTGGTACATCGTTGGAAAAACAAAAGGGATTATTCCACGCGGTCTGGCGCATTCTATTTCCAAACGCCGGCCCTGGGCCAGAATCTCCATGTAAGTCTTCGATACTGTATAGAGACCCTTTATCGAGGCTTTCTGAATTCTGAATGGCTTCAAGTTAGCGAAGACTTCAAAAGTGGAGGGTTCAGCATGCTTGCCGACTCCATTTTCACCTCTTGGTCTGATCAAGCTTTCAGACGGGGCGAGATCTCCGACCCGACTCACTACCGTCCCAGCCGCACAGACTTCAATGAGATGGCGCAAAGCTTATTCGCGGCCGTTGGAGATCAGAAGCCTGACTTTACGGATAGCTTCCAGGCCTCACCCTCTGGAGGCATCATGAGCGGTCAACAGTTCGAGCTGCCTGGAGAGTCTTTGGGCGAGCTGCTCGGTTCTTTGGGGACCGCTACAGAAACACCAGAGCGGATGTCTTCGGATTTTACAGGGCTGACAACTCCCTGTTTCACTGTTAGTGATGAAAACTCACGAAAAACAAGCCTCAGCTCGTCTGTTCCAATTTCGGATGGTGCAATGATTCAGTCGGACTCAGTTGCCGCCGACACCTCCAGCTGGCGGAAGTCAGATAACCAGGAATGTCAACCGCCCTTTGATTTCCCGGCCTATCGGCCGGTCATGGATGCACCAATACCAATGGCGCCAGCGCCTAGCGATTGGCTTCACCCTGGAGCAGACCCTATGCTTACTGGATTGGGGAACTCGCTGGACATGAGCAGTCTTAATATGCCAAGAGAGACTCAGTCGTTTTACTTTCCACAACCACCATCAGGTCAAGATCCTGTAGCATCTCTTTTAGAGGCGATGGATGATTTCCTCGAGCAGTACTCCAGAAAACAGCGTTGAGGACAATCAGGACTGGTATATCTCGGCTTGTGTCCGTCCACCAACGCCGCTTTTTGAGGAACAGGGTAGTGGCAACAGACTTTCGTAAATGGACACGCAAAAGGGGATTGGAAGGGGGATCCAGGTGGAACTTAGTAGACACATGTGCTTTATTTCGTTTCAAGAGAATGTAAATCTTGAATTGTTTTCTGCAAGTAGTACTTGTCGTAATGAAATGAGACTCTCTAGCCGGGTAGAGACGGCGAGTGATCCAGTCGGTGGGGAAGCAGCAGTGCACGGAACCGGCCAGTTTTGTCAACGACAGTGGGATTATTACCTTGGTTGTAAATCCTTCCACCAACACAGAGGTTCAAACTTCTTCCAACAGAGTTCGCCGGAAATAAATGCCCTTCTAAGTCAATCTTGCGATTTCGCAGAACCGACTACGATGCAGAAAGGATCCCTCTGTTGTATTTTGGGGTACGCAGCATTCTTCGGGCAATTTAACCTGCCCAACACACACCTTTCTAAACCCGTTTTATCATCAATAACGTCCCATTAATTACATCTTACTGCTTGCTTGAACCGCCAAAGAAACTCGAGGCAATGTGTTATGGTTGCCGCAGACTCGGCTTCACGGAACCCTCTCCTCCGCCAGAGCCAGAGCATGACCGGGAGGACGAGGAGCCGCAGCCGCAGCCGCAAGACTTTGACAGGCCGGCGCCTCGAAAGCAGCTCCAACCGAAGCCCAAGACCATCGTTCACTCAGCGCCTAGCCATGACGGTATTCCGGCTTTCGTGGCATACTCGGTTCCCGCGGACACTCCGGAGGATGCCGATCTGACGCCCTTGCGCCCGGCGTACGCCTACGTCTTTTATGACACTTCTCCTGGCGCGCTTAATCCGGGACGCACCGAGGACCTGACCCGCGCCATATTCGACGGCACCAAAGATAGCCGCAGCTCTGACGGGCTGCCGGACAGAGTTGAGGTCTTTGCTATGCCCCTCCCACCTCTGCCCGAGACAGGGAGCTCGTATTCTGCCGAGGACATGGGGCTTGACCTCGTTCTTTCACAAGAGAGCCCCTGGTATACCCGTCTGGCCGCATGCGCATCGCGGGACTCTCAGGACGCACACTGTCTCCAGCACGCCGCAGCTTGCATACTTCATCACGAGCGGGAGATCCAGAATCGTCTGGTCATCGCGGACAGGGCGGAGGCGGTTTCGTGGTACCTCCCAGAAGGATTAAGCAATGCCTACTATACCCGTCGCATTGTGGTTGTCGATAGGCTTAATGATAAACCCAAGAACCTGCCCGGCCCTATCCGTTGGCAGGAGGCGCTCGCCTGGACACAAAGTCTTCCAAGCGAAGCAAGAGACTCGGATATCAATATGGCGGAGAGGGCTGAGAGCAGCCCGTACGGAAGAGGGTTGCTGGTCAAATGGCGGCCTCGCGATCAGGACGATGATGATGAGGAGGACGAAGAAACACCGCCACTCAACTGGGACAAAGTCGCGTTTGAAATGATAGGAGAATCGGCGTTGAGTTCCTGCCGATATGGGGTAGATGTTCTCTATGAGCATTTTATCCCCGACGGCGTATTCGATTTTGAAAGAGAGAAGGCTCGTGAACGAGGGGCAGTTGATGGAGTGGACTTGCCGATGCAGGCTAGATAGGCCCTCTGCTCGCCTTTACCGTCGGACAGAGTCGCCAGCCTACACCTCACTGACGTTAGCAGCGACTGTCACGCTTCTTCACACTAGATTAGTCGGGAAGATTATAGAATTTCGAGGGAAAGAAACAGGCCTTAGGTGTTTACTGAAGCTAGTTGGCAGGGGGGAGAGAGATGGATGGTCCCACCTGCTCCGTCCACCAGCCACGCCCAACGTGGTTCCGACGTTTTGGGGCGCGGACATGGCTTAGCGATGGGTCATTCTTGACGCAACGTCTGGCGTGTATCACTCATTCAACTTCCTTTCGCCCAGGGCAGAATCTCTAATAGTTTCGTCGGTAAGCCTTGTGTATCGGACAGGCTAACCATATGGGCCGAAGCCATTCTATTCTTTCCGTCGACCGAAGATCCGACTTGAATCCAGACATATCCCCATGTTTGTAAGTCCCCTAATTAAGCCGTGGTGGTAGAGGCCAATGCAGGCTTCTTAACAATATTTCCTGCCTCGCCCGTCGTATCTAGCTCAAAGCTATGAGCAGTATCCGTTCCTATAATCACGCCCCCGGCATGACCCGTTCCATCAAAGATCTCATCAATCTCCTCTAGAGTTCTGCCCTTTGTGTCAACGAATAACCAAATCGCAGTAGCCAAGATTGCGAGGTTCCATCCGCCGTTAATGGCAAAGTAGCGCCAGCCAATCTTCTCCATAGCTATCGGCGCCGTGTAGAGATTGAGAAAGCTGAAAGCATAGCCAATGGCCTGAGAAATTGCCACACCCTTAGACCGCTGCGAGTATTTCAAGATCTCGGGTGGATATGTATAGGCAAGGAGCATCCTTCAATCCTGTTAGTTTGATCTGCATCGTCTCCGAGGCTATAACGAGGCTTACCAGCTGAAAGACACGGCCAAAAGAAATAAGCCCACAACAGCGATGGCGCCAATGGCATATCCGTGGTCGTCGGGATATTGGTCTGCAAGGTACGAAAGGCCGGAAAGGATAGCAAAGAGGACGACAGTGGCAGCTGTGCCAAAGACTAGATATGTACTGTGAATCACACGCATCACACGGATCAAAGTAGCAAAACTTACTTAGAGCCTTGCGAGTGCCGATCTTGTCGATGACGAAGACGCCGGCAAGGCTGCAAAAGGCGTTCCATAACAGTAGGCCCATGTTCACCTGGATAATAGTACCATAGTTTTCAATTCCTAGTCCGGCAATTAGGAAGGATGAGAAGTATCTGAGCGTGCATAAGTCGGTGGCAGCTCGCGCATCATTGGAAGGATATGCAGACTTACAGGATGGCGTTTGCCCCTATAATTTGATAGCAAATGTTGATCAGCACGGCGATGATGAATCTTTTCAGATTGGAAGCTTTTGTTGAATGTTAGTCTGAGACCTGGATAGAGGAACAAGGACCCCGCATTACCAGGCGCGATGAGTTCTTTCCAGCCACCGTTGTGTTGCTCATCAAGTTTCAAAGTTCCCGTGATCTCCTGAGTCTCTGCGATCACCAAGGGATGTTGGCGATCACCGTTGGCATGCAGACGAGCGAGAATTTCGATAGCCTAAACAGATTTAGACACAAGGTTCGGCTTTTATCACATGCAGCTACCTACTTCTTCAGTACGGCCCTTGTGGAAGAGCCATCGTGGGCTCTCGTCAACGAATGGTAGGAGGCATAGAGCAAGGACAGATGGCACCGCTTCTCCCTTCATACAACAAGTCAGCTACGGTCTGCGTTGTCATCAAAAGTCACTCACAAGCATGATTCCACGCCATGCCCAGTCCGACTGCTTATCCCATATCCCCAAGAAGATGCATGTAGTGAAAAAGGCGGTAAATGGCGCGGAGACAAGCACGGCGTTGGCCAGCATTGATTTATATCTGGGCGCTCCCAGCTCCATAATCCACATGGGCGGCACAGAACCGTTGATCAAAGTAGCAAAGCCGATGAGAAAGCGACCGCAGACGAGCTGTGCAACTGAGGAGCATGTGTGTAAGCGAAGGTTCTGGTGAGAGAGAAGCCGACATGGCGCACTCACCTTTAGTTGCGGATGCTTGTAGTATGACGCCTATGATGATGCTCATAGCGCCTAGCCCAAGACCAGCCTTGCGTCCCCAGTGATCGACCAGGTGGCCAACAACGGGAGCGCCAATGATGCACCCGGCGCTGATGATGGCAGCATTGAGACCGATCATATCACTATTGAGTTCAAAATCTGTTTCAGTTTGTCAACTATGGTGGCTCATTTTATACTAGATGTGATGTTAGTCAACCCACGTTGTCGGTACGGCACGACGGCGTTCAGGTTGTTGATCATGGCGGCATCGTAGGAGATAATGCAAATGCTGAAAACTGCCTCGCAAAAGATCAGCGCATGCGAAAGAGTACTGCCCAGTTTCAGCGAAGCCATAATAGCGCAACGTGTTGCAAATGATCGTGTCTCATCGATTTTGTTAAAAATATTGATGAAGCACTGACATTGCCTGGGTTTACAGAGATGTAGCAAGTGTGAATAGCTTCAACCAACGTGACGTGGAGACGACACGCGACATGGGCTCATCTTATAGTCACGGCTTCGACGTCTTTGGAGTAGAGCACAGCTTGCCTCTTTCGACACCCCCTCGACTCAGCTAGATAAGCATGCTATAAGGCAGAGCCTGGCACTAATGTCCAGGGTCAGGGAAGAAGAAGCCATAGCTAGTCCCAAGTTATCGTAACTTTTTGAGCGGCTTGCACGCAGAAGACAAGTAGATCTAGGCAATCAGATGGCAGCCTATCAGCGAGAGAAATGCCTACGGTCCAGCTTGAGCCAATCAGGGAACCGTGGTTGACGTTAACCGTGGTTGACGTTTATCAATTCTATCGGTGTATTTTCCCCGGATTTCCCGAACTTTCCCAGGCGCTGAAATCGGCCGAGCACTGCCAATCATCTATGAGTAAGGTATCGTTCTATACAGGGCTTTGCTATCACAGCTATCTTCGTCAGACTGTCCCCGATTGCACGGATTGAATAATGATAACCTATGAGAGGACGGCTATTGAGTGCGTCAGTTCCGAATCCGTGAGAAAGCAGCATTGGGGTTGTTTGACATCGAATGCCTGATGGCAGAAAACTGGGTTTCCATGAGTGAGGCATGAGGTCGGTCTGTAACACTCTGACAAATGAGTATTCTATCCAAATCGTTGCAAACCCGAAATATCGATTGGCAATAAAAAGCAGACACCCTCAAAAGGAGGGAGAAGGTCTATGTTCTTCTTAGAACGCTACATATACTGTTCTAGCTTGAGGTACCTCAGATTCTCATGGCTGGCGGTAGTTAGTAGAGATAATGAAAAAGTCGACGCCAATATGGCACATTAATGATCACATGGGTTTCATAAAAGCAACTTGATCAATCTAACTTCGAGCGCCAGACGTACCTGGCCACAGCGTGGTGTGGCCGATTCCTTACATAAAGACAGGATTCGGGCGGGCATTCGGGCGTCGGGCACGGGGCCGAGTTCCGTCTTGCAGTAGGTCTGGAAAGATTTGGTTGGTAAGTGTTTGACGACTGATTTCAATGAGTCATGGCATAACAGTGTCGTAAGTCAATTCAGTTCGGTCCTCATAGTTGATTGAGTTGCTTGCGAAGAACGCTGTATATTGCAAAGAAGCAATCCCCCACCCCTTTTCCCGGGCTACTGCACTTGGAAGTTCGCTCGGAAACACTATTTGCATGTTTACTGGAAGTTTTCTATAGCTACTTTACTGCTGACGTCGTACTTGCGCAGCTCGTCTTCGGCTTTCAAAGCAGCAGCTTGAATGATGTCCTTGGTAGTACTAGTTCGTGGCTTAAACTCCACCGTGAATGGCAACGGCCTTGGGGCTGGGCTATCGTTAAATGCAAAAATACCCAGCTCCTTCGAGTTTCCCTAGATTGAGTCAAATAATCAGCAACTGATCATTTCAATTGGCGCATTGCGGCGAATCCACAGTTGACCTACATGTTCGTCGGTAGATCGCATTCTGAATGACCAAAGCAATCCCACGATGGTGAACCAGATGCCTTGTTCAGCAAGGGGTTGCCCACTACAAAGGCGTCGACCCCAACCAAACGTGAAGATGCCCTTTTTGCTAGGATTTGGCTGTCGCTCTTCCAAGAACCTCTCAGGTCATACCTCATCGGGGTAAGGATAGTCTCGTGGATTGCGATGGATGGCCCAAAGGTTTCCAATGATGGAAGTACCTCTGGGAATAAACATGCCCTTGTAGGAATCGTCGTGAACAGGTGCATGAGGGGGACCTCCAAGTGCAATCGCGGCTCTCCAGCGGAAGATTTCCGTAAGAAGCGCCTTGCAGTATGGAAGAGAGTCCTCGTCTGCCCAAGTGGGGGGTTCGCCTGCCAGGACGCTATCAATTTCCTCCTGCGCCTTCTGCTGAACGCGCGGAAAGGCACACATGGCAAAGATGAAGACGATGATAGTGGTCGTCGTGGTATCTACGCCACCTCCGATCAAATTACCTGTTAGACTGGCGATTTCTTTGGGAGATAAGTTGTTGTCCTTATCTTGGTCCTGAATGAGACGCTTGGAGAAGCTATCCTGCTCAAGTTTGGCCCCTTCGACGGTAAGGGCATAGAAGTATTGCAGCAATTTTTGCCCCTCATCCCAAATCATGGAAGGGAACGGGTAGATCCGTTTAGGAAGCTTGCTCATCCATGGATAGGCTTCGACTAAGTATTGAGCCGGTGCGGAAAGGCCAGCTCCTGTCTGCACGAATGATAACGCAAGCTTGGCAAGATCGTCATCCATCGATCGAACCCGACGGCCCCATCCGATAATGGCGGCAACTGAGCATGCGTATCGCTCAATAGCCGAGACGAACTGCTGGGTCTCCATGATATCACGAATCAATATTTTGGACTCGTTGGCCTGGAATGTTCGGTATCCCCGAACGGCTTGGCTGCCAACTACGGTATGCTGAAAAGCCATTAATAAGAGACAAAGTAGGTGGTAACAAAATCGCAATAGGCAACTGACCGTGATACGTCGATGTAAACGCCATTTGTCTCCGTATACGAGGCTGGTCTGATTGTTCTCTGTTTCGTCAAATGCATCGGCCAAGTAGGAATGTGGACGCGACGAGTAAATCTGGGCTCGTTTGTCCATTAAATCCGACGCTGCCCAACAATCGTTTACAACGACCGTAGGACGGTTTCCCGTCCAAATGGTGATCAGAGGGCTATCGTATTCCTTTGACCATTTTTCAAAGATGAGATAGGGCTTCGCTGCGGGCACACGCCCGATGTTTCCAACGATGGGATATGGGAACGGGCCGGGTGGCATGCGAGACCTCAAGTACAACACACGACCATAAGAAACAAGAACCCATAACAGAAAAACGATGATGGGTCCTGACAGTGAAAAGGCCGCCAGGTGCAAAGAGCTGTCCCAGTATGCTGGAAGATCATTCGAGAGAGACATTGTTTCAAGTATTGGAATAAGTCGATAATAGCCTTTTGCCGCTCGACGTGATGGTTCTCGAATTTAAGAACGCAAGCGAGGTGAGCCTCACTCTCTTATTCCTGCACTTCACTTCCTCTTCATGAGATACAAACACGTCAAAATCTCCATGAGAGACGAAGATCAACTTCTGGGTCGGCCGAGGATTCCGCTGCCCTAGAACGGCTTCTTTTCGGGCTCGGCCGAGACTCCCGTTGCAGTTTGATAACTGGCAGTTTGAGGTCCCTGATCGGAGCCACACGGTTCCGTCTCGATCCAAGTGACATCTGCGACGCGCTCGCCATACCTCGTTTTGCTGCCACCAAGCCCCCACTTAGATCCTCTCGTAAGGTACCTAGTGTGAACGGATGAACTTCCTACCGCTTCAGGCCTGGCAAAGCTAGTAAACTTGCAGAGTAGGGCAGGCGGTACCTTATGGGAAATGTGCCGGGAGGGGCGATGGAGAAAGAGGCATTCCCACTGTTGCCCTATGCTATGTATGTAAATCTTACCCCGCTCCCCACTGTCGTCCGATGTGCCTTTGTGCCTGCCTACCTGCCAAACTCCAGGTCTTCCCCTCTCTTTATCGTATAGACAATTTGAACATGCGTTCTATGCAATACACACGGCTGATATATTACGTGACTACTTACCTGCTCACCCTTGAGTCGAGTTGCATGTGGCTGCAGGCAATGCCGAGAGTCCAGACGACACGCTGCGCTCCCGCCTTACAGCGTCCGTTGTCATTAGGTTTGGGGGCCAGAACTGTAAATCGGATCCATGTGCTGTCGCAAAGTGGGAACGATGTGGGGAGAAAGTCCTCTGCATTGCTTACACGGTAGAAGGGACGAGGAGAACAGCCATCATCTGAACGGTGAACCCAACCTTCTCTCGTCTGTTCTCCTTTCCGCTTCATCCAATAGACCAGTGTGCTCTTCCCTCGACCTTAGGTTCGCGATGTCGATGGCTCGTTCCAACTTGCCTGCTCGTCACTTCTCACCTCTTCATGCCGTCCTTGGCTCCAATATTTCCCTCTTCCTCTCCACACATCCTTGTCGACGATGCTCACGCCAATGTGCATCATGCATCGGATTTGAACGCCTTACTCAACCCACTCTTTTCTCGCGCTCAACCCCTGTACCCGGCCCGGCGTCTTCTCGTGCATGGCGACTGGGAGCCAGTTCCTGGTCCTCGCTTTTAGTCAAAGTCTGGGCAACTGTGCCGCTCCCGAGGCGTCCATTATCATCATCACGCCAGCCATCTTTCACGACCATTGCGGGGCTCTTACCGAAAGCTGTGCCGCTCTGTTGCCAGGGAAGTCTTTTGCCCGGAGACCTTGCTCTACTGTGTAGAGAAGGATGGGCACCCATGGCATCGGCTTGCCAACTGGCTTGCTTTCCAGAAGGTCTGACACACCTGACCATTGGGAATTCCCTCAATACCAAAGTTCCCCAGACTCAATTGCCTACCTCGATTCCCTGTTCTGCACGTCGTTGGCTGTCATTCGGCAACGGCGGGCAGTGCGGGGAGCTGGGAAAAGAAATATTGACTGCGCAAGTGCCCGAACAAGAGCACGACGCAGATGAAGTGACCCCGCGTCCTCAACTCCTCGTCAACCGTCAACATAAAATGGCGGGGCATGCGACAACAATGCGAAGTAGCCAACTTCCTGCTGACCGTCAGCTCTCTCCCATGTTCCATGACGCCACCCCGACGCGGCTTATTCGCACAGTTTTCAAGAGGCTGGAGCCTTTGCCGCATGCACCATATGATCCGTTTGTCATAGCTTCGATTCTCGATTCTCGATGCTCTTGAGCTGCTCCTTGTCACTGTTGTCAGTCACTCCAGCCGACACGCGACTAACATACCCGAGCCATTATGGCGTGCTTTACTTATCAGATAGCTTCTCCATCCACTTTAAAGTCGACGGCGTCTCGCACCAGCAAATGTCTGCCCTCCCGGGGCCACGTTCCGGGGCTATCAGTATTAGCTGTTGCTATTCCTGATAGAAACCAACACATCAGACTTCAGTCTAGGGCGGCTGGTCCTAGCTGGGGCGAGTCAGGGGTACCCCGCGGGAAACATTGGGCCACTTGGACGATCACTAAATCGTACTCTGGCAATGGCGGCACTTGGGGAACTTGTGCCGTTCTTTAGTTGCCAACCCACGAGCACGCCAGCTACACGGGCAACAAGCTGCTTCACGTCTTGGCTGCCAATTGGGCGCAGTCGGGCAATGGCTCAGCCCGCTCTATTGAACCCGACGATGGTCTTTTGGAGTATCTCAAAGGACATGCATCTTCCAAGCAAGGCTAGTAAACGGATGACCGAGGTCGAGTTGGTAAACATTATTTTTCTTGGATTTGCCCGGCGCTGGCCTGGTTACCGCTGTCCCGGCTCTTTTCCAGAATTTTGGCGGCCACACCAAAACAAGTTTTGTGCTCATTCGGAGCCGGCCCCTGGATCTGGTTGGACGCGTTCCTGTACACCAACGACTTGGACTGCATCACTGGTGCGTCTCTTCATTGGATGTTTCCCGCGAGCTGCAGGTCTTGAGCTTGGTGCCACGACATGGACACGAGCCCCCCTCGAGGACACAACAAGCATCGAGCTACGTCTGTCCGACATTGAGAGACTTATGCACCGGTCGAGTCCGCTTCATACCCAGCTTCTGACGGCGGAAATTTAATCAAATGTCGATGCGGCTAGAAAAGAACTGACAGCGCAAGGCTCAACATCTATCAGCAATACGAAGACGCCGCTCCTTGCTGGCGCTCAACTCTGCTGCTACTCGGGTATACTTGATCGGTCGAGACTCAAGAGAGAACGCGGTTGTGTGAAGCAACTAAGGCACAGATGGTCCAAAGTGAGGGGGTTTCTTCGATAGCCAGCGAACATTTTCGTCACCTCGCGGCCTGCAGTGCTGCCTTGCCCGCCTTTTCGAGCATCTAGTCAGACAGGATTGACGAAAAGCCCTGGAAATGTTGGCTTCATGCCTTGCTCGCAGCCAGTGTCGTGTCAATACGGCTACCATTGGGTCAAGGGATTCTCAAAGCTCACCACATAAGACACCTGGATTGTATTAAATGCCCCTCCTTGTGCCGTCATCATCAGCCGGCCACTACCGACACCAGCCGGCTAGGATGTCAAAGCCTGAGCTGACAGCCTTGACAACGGCATCGCGGCCGGGGCAACATGGCCAGCCGGGGGATGGCGGTCTGCCTACCTAGTCGTCTTTCTGCGAGCTGCAATGCCATCGGCCCTAGTCAATACTCGCGCTCTTATTCGTTCAAGTAATCACATAAGCTACCCGTCTGACGGTCAAAAGTGACATGGGTGTCGCTGAACCTTGTCGAGCCTCGTCGTCGTCGTCGTTCGTCGTCGTCGTCCAACCTCGTCTCTTGGCTGCAGTTGCACTACGCACACCGGGTGGCGTATGCCTCATCTTCCGATTTCGAGTCAAAATTGCGCCTTTGGCTGCCGTGTCGCCATTCGGCCGAGACGAAGTCGTTCATCTACACACACCACAGGACTCGTCCTACACCAGCGTGCTCACCTATCCCATCGAGCTCTCCTCCAGCCACTCACTGAGCTCCAGGTTCTTCCCAACTGCTAGGCTGCATCTCCAAGATCGCCCTCCCTCGTATCACACACTTGGCGTGCTCGTCCTCTACACCCTACCCAAGGTCCTCCTCCATGGATCAGGCCGCGGCCGGTCTGCTGTCCACATGGCCCAAGACTACTGCAAGCCGCAGTGGAGATCGCCAACCTCTGTTGGTCGACGAGCAGAGATGTCATCTCATCCTTCGCACTCTGCTTCCTCTTCTCCTCACCCGTCCGCCTGCAGGCAGACCGGGTATGCCGGCCACCTGTTCATGGCCTCAAGATATAAGCTTACCCAGCCATCTCTTCTCTGCTCGAACCTTTTCTCCTTGTTTCTCCATCCTCTTGCAGCCCTCACCAGCCTCTCTCCATCTCCCAGCCAACCACATATACGTGATCTTGTGCTATCAAGTAACTCGTTCGTTAAGGTTACTTAAGAGACTCTCGCTCAAATCAAAGCTCTCGCTTCCTCCGCCCATCGTTTCAAGAGTATCTCTCGTTTGATTGCTCTCAATCTCACCTTCACCCGCAGCCATGAAGTTCACTACTGCTCTGCTGGCTCTGGCCGCCACTGCCCTTGCAACCGAGGACCACGACTGGGGTAAGGATAAGACCAAGACTATTGTCACGGAAGTCCTGACCACGTACACGACCGTGTGCCCTGTTGTAAGTAGACCTCGAGCCCTCTGCTTGCCGCGGAGCTGACGCCCCATGCTAGACAATCACCAAGCCCGGCGAACACACCACCCAGTACGAGACCATCACAACTACCTCCACTGTCGTTGAGAAGCACCCCACGACGATCTATGAGACCCTTCCAGGCGCCACTGAAGTCGTGACGGAAATCGACACCGACTACACCACCTACACCACCTACTGCCCGATTGTAAGTGATTCCTACGAGCAAAGCTTTCAAGCCAAGAGCTCTGAGTAAAGGGTATCCTGGCTAACACTCCATACAGACGGAGACGATCGTTGGAGAAGGCACCACCAAGACTGTGGTCTACACCACACTCAGTACCGTCGTCGAAAAGAAGCCGACCAAGATCATCGAGACCGTTCCCGGCCCCACGGCCGTAGTGACGGCCACGGATGTCCAGCTTACCACCCTCACCAGCCTCTGCCCGGTCACTGAGACCTACACCGAGGGCGGCAAGACCTGGACCAAGACGTACACCACCACGTCCACCATTGTGACTCACGTTCCTACCAAGGTCTGGCAGACTGAGAAGCTCCCTGACGTCACCAAGACGGAGAAGGACGTTGAATACACCACCATCACTTCTCTTTGCCCTGTGGTGAGTCTTGAGAACCCTTTCCCTCAGCCAAGCTTTCCCGAGCCTCTCCGATCTAACATAATGGCTAGACCGAGACCAAGACTATCGGCGGAGAGACAGTTGTCGTCACTTACACGTCTACCTCAACCATCGTCACGGAAGTTCCCACCAAAGTGGACGTCTGGACGACCGTAAAGACCACTCAGCATCTCTCAACGGAAGTCTACGAGACCATTACAAAGCCTGTGACGACATATCAGACCATCGAGCACGGCGAGACGGTTTGGATCACTGCCACGGGCACCAAGACCATTACCGTCGAGAAGGTCCACACCTTGACGGAAGTCATCGTCGAGACCAAGACGGCACACGTCGAGGTCACCCAGGCCGTGACCGTTGGCGGCGAGAGTGTCGTAACGCAAAAGTCATGGGTCTACATCACCGTGTCGGGAACTGTGTACGCTACGCAGACCCGGCCCGCCAGCACCCTTGTCGTCCCTACAACAAGCGCCGTGACCCTTCCCCCGGTCACGGTGTCGAGCCAGGCTCCAGTCGTTGTGCCCACCGCTGCCGCCGACGCCCGCAGAGCGCCGGGAGCTGCCTTGCTGGCTGGTCTCTTTGGTGCCGTTGCGCTCCTCTAGACATTTGGTCCTGGAGGATGGATCATCTGTTTCTGGACTTTTCTTTCTCTTACTTTACTTCTCTGAGGGCAATGATGACCTCATTTCTACACTAATGCCCGTCTCTTCTGGACGATCGGGCCTTTAATAGTGGATCACCTCCATACGACTTTGACGACAAGCTCAATGCTACGACGGCACGGATATACAGATATACCCCTTACACTCACTGATGATCAACCGGTAAAAGGAAGGACTGGAATGATGAGAAGGAACACATGGCATCCAGATTACTGGAGTAATGATATTCCAGGAGAATGGTTATGGAGGGTAATTCTATTTGACAGCAAAAAGGTCGCGCAAAACTCTCTCAGAAAAGGGGCGTTCAAGGCAACTCCAGTTGCAGCAGACCTTGGGTTCATTTCATGTACATAGACACTTTTGACTTACAGAGGAGGACTTAGTATTTAAAGGTGGCTATATGAGCCTTATTGATTGCATTTTCATACTACCTACTGAATACCTGCGTAAGCAAGAAAACATGGTCATCCACTAGTGAGAATGACTGGATGGTGACGATTGCTGGCTGCCCCTCAAACCCCGGACCTCGTTGCGTTGCTCGCATTGTTTATGTGCTGGCCGTCGATCGGGGCGATGTTACCTCGTGTCGGGATACCCAATGTGACCCTTTAGCTCTTGACCGGCGGCGAGCGGTGTGGTGCGGTAGATAGGTGGTCACAAAGTGTGGTTGTCAATTGCGGGAGGGGCTGGTGGGGTGGTGTAGTAGGATTGGACGTCATCTTCTGGTTTGGAAATGGTGGCAGGGGAGGGCGAAAGTCTGGGGAAATGGGTTCCCCGGTTTTTCGTCTGCCAGGTAGAATTTGCGGAACTGTCTCCGCACCTCCGTTCAGTGCCGGGAGAAGCGGGGTCGTTTCTCGGGAGTTCGGTAGCGGGGCAACACGGATGTATGGGTCCGACTCCGGTAACGCAGTCACCTCGGGAAAGTACCTAGGGAAGTATCTAGCAGCTTTGAGATTCGGCGTTAACAAGCCACAATCTCACTACGTCTTCCCTTTTCTCTTGGCTACTAGCCGCCAGGGACTCGAAAGGGACACCGTTTCTCAGAGGAGGTTATTTTACCCGCGATCAGGATCCGTTTCGCCCTTCTACTTCGCACGGTGGCCGCATGCAAGCCAACACTAGGTAGACATCGTTCATCTCGAAAAAAAAAAAAAAAAAAACACCGTAAAATCAAATCGCGCAACAGAAACTCTCAAACATTGACTTTTCCCTTCCTCAACTTCCGATTGTAGCAAGACGCCGTTGTCGAGATATGCAAATCATCGGAAAGATCAGCAGCCGCGGGCTCCACAGCGTGACTCACTCTCCACTGCCCTGGGCTCGGAAGGACTCAGCCAAGCGGCCCCTTGAAATGCCCCTAACTGCCCGGCACGTCTCCAGCCCGAGATCTAACATCTCGTGCGGAGAAACACCGTTAAGCCTGAAGCGGTGAATCGGTTCCAAGCTAGCATACGTCCGTTCTGGTTGGGGGTAAAGACTCTGAGACCTGGCGGGCCATTCAGGAACGGACCAGGGGAGAGATGAAGTAGGATGGTACCAATTTGACGGCCCGGTGTAGCATTGAATAGATACATCTCTTCACAGAATCATGACGGGCTTCCTTTCTGTCTCCCACTCCCGTCTGCCGCCCTCCGAGATGTTCGATCGTGCGCGCTGGCGACACAGTACACGACGGAGGTCGAAGTGGGAGGGAACAGACTGACGGCGGCCTGTCCCGCATTCCAACCAACCTTTATCTCGGGATCTAGTCAAGTTTCCGCCCTAGCCCACGCCAGTGTCAAATGCCAAACGCCAAAGTACGACAACCGTTCGGGAATGCTTATGCTTACATCAAGCATAGTTTTTCCACAGTCGCCGAAAGTGGGTTGGCTCCGGCTCGTAGAGGTTGAGAGCTTCTACCGCCAAGATGCCACCTACGTCGTCGTGTTGTCCCTCTCAAAAGCCTTAGCCGCGCTGCCTTAGCGCTAATCTAGGTCGCGCTGGGGGTTCATCTGATGAGACGTTCCCTGAAGCGGGTATCCTCTGCGGTCTTCTGCGGGGCAAGAAGGAAGGCCAGTCGGAATCTTTGAGTGAAACCGTTGCAGATCTTGGGACCTGGAGATTGAGTACCCGAGATGCTCGCTCCGCCGCGGTGCCGGCCTTTGATTTGGGTTACTGTGAGATATCCACTTTGAAGAATCCGGAAGGGAGAACTTTGAGATGTTTCCTCTTTAGGAGACAAGTTTCTTGAGCTAAGAGAGTTTGGATCCGTTGCTGTCTCGGATCTTGAATGTCTCTGATTACACACATACTAGGTGTCTTGGCAACAATTGATGATGTCTCGTCATTGAAGCTGTTCCGCCCAAGCCCGTGATTATCGACTTTTACTTGCCAGGACCACTCTGGAGAATTAGCCTGGAGTCAACTTTTTCCAGCAAGATGGAGAGATCTGTAGAGTTGCTGATCGTTCCTGAAGGAGAGCTTGGCAAATATCGTACCCAAATTTGCTGGCACGAAAACGGCAATGTAAGTGACAAGCCATGAGCGCGTCAAGATCTCAGTCGGCAGTAGATGCACTCAAAGTCTTAATTTATCGAAATTCAAGTTGAAGATGTATCTAAAGCATCGAGTTGTTACCCAGAACCAAGTATAAGAAGCTACTCAACTCCCGGCAATATCGCTATTCTCATCACACCTCTCATCACCATCTCATCTTCTTACCATAACCCAGCCCATCTTTTTTCAAGCTGACCACCCAGAATTGCAACCTTCTGCTCCCTCAATTTGAATCAGCAAACATGCAGTTCTCCATTCTCAAGCTCGCCGTCGCCGCCCTGGCTATCTGCAGCGACTCCGTCCTCGGCCAAACGACTCCCGCCCAAGTCGTCCAGAACATTGACATGGTCACCAAAAAGTCCAATGACCTCATCGCCCCCGCGCAAAAGATCGACCTCGTCAGCGGGCCGTTGCTCATCATCGGCCTGGGTCCTTTCCCGGTAAGTAGAGCCCCCCATCTATTGCCGCACAGGAATCTCGTCAAGATTCAGAAGCTGACGTTATCTTTCCCCTTCCGCAGAAAATCATCACCGGCTTCGTAGACATTGTCAGCACCGTCACCACGGCGATGGCCCAAATGCAGGGCATGCCTCCCGTACCGGCCGGCCCCCAGTCCGACGCCATCTTTGAGGCGTTCCGCGAGTTCGTGCGCATCCATCAGATGCTTCTCAACGTGCTCATCGGCAAGGCCGGTCTGTTCTCGACTATCCCGCTTATTGGTGCGCCCGTCGCCGCCGTCCTCAGACAGGTTGAAGCTGTCGTCGATGTGAGCATCACCCTTCCCTCTCCTCTCCTAAGGAATCTCCAAAATCTCATAGATGTGGAAAAGTTTGGCTGACCCTCTTACGCCTCAAGTCTGTCGCCTTTGCCCTCATCGGCGCCGTGCAGAGCAGAGCCACCGACCTCCAGGTACAGGCCGGCATGCTCACCGGAACCATCACCACTACGATCGACCGCTACGAGGGCCTCAAGCTCAACTAAATCATCTGCCGATTTACCTTCAAAAGATTAAGGATGGACTTATTTTGGATCATGTGGCAAGCCCTTTTCACTTCTTGGCCCTGCCATAATGGGACGGAGCTTCCTGGTTGTGCTCCACCGCGGGAGCTTGCGTTCAACGCTACGGCAGTCTTAGTCCTTATCATTATCTTCTTGTTTAATGAAGCATGTTTTTTTATTCAGAGTAGCTGCTTGAACACCATCCTTAGGAGCAAGATGACTGCGTTGTCACTAAGCTAGAGTCTAATAAAACATCGTCTGTGGGCTCCAAAGTAATTAAAAAGCCAATGGTGATCTTTTCAAACGAGACAGACACTGCATACTAAGTCATAAATGTGTGTATGTGCGGCTACTTATGGCGATCCTCTGTTGACGTTCCGGTGATAAAGAACAAAAAAAGCATCCATGGCCATATCATTGTGAAAGCTCAGTCCGAGTCAGATTACAACAGACAAGACAGGGAACACTGTCACTTTCCTTCGTTGCTGACTACATCATGGAATGCCTTACGACTGGCAGCATATGTCGCACCAACAGGGAACCCGCCGGGCACTCTCGGGAAGACTGAGCCATCGACAACTCTAAGCCCATGAACACCATGAACTCGGAACTTTGAGTCAACACAACTGTCCAGGTTGGTCTTTCCCATTCTGCAGCTGCCAGCGGCATGATGGCTCCAAGTGTGATCTCGTATATGTTGCTCAAGTGAGCGATCTGCAGGGGGGTCGATGACCTGGAAGGGCTGATACGGCTCTCCAGTGACGTTCATGATGGACATGAGATGTTCAATGCCCTCGGAAAGAGCAGCAATATCGACATCGGCGTCCTCTTGATAGAAGTTCAAGTTGATCTCCGGGGTCTCTCGGGGGTTGGACGATCGGAGTCTCACGGTGCCTGTCGGATTGCCGTTTTGCATCTTCACGACGGCCCAGAAGAAGGATGTGGGCGGCCATGCAACTTCGCTGAAACCGGGATAGTGACCGTCGAACACACCACCAGCCGCGCCAAAGATGATGAGGTCGCAATCCACGTTTCTGGATTGGTTGCTACGATGCAGCATGAAGATGGGAGCAGCGGCCTCGCCATATGCACCGTAGCCGGCTTCCCATTGTGCAAGACAGGGGTCTGTCTCGGGGCTACCAGGCGTACATTTTGCGAAAGAACTATTCTCCCACGCGATGTTTGAACGAACGTTGATGCCCGCCTCGTAGTTGTCCTGCAGAAACTCACCCTAGGAGATGCATTAGTATGAAGAGACCTTGACTTCTTAAAAGGGAGCCGATACTTACCACGGCAGGAAGATCAACGACAACTGGGATGCCGAATGTCTCCAACTCTTCTCGAGGTCCGATTCCACTGAGCTTGAGAAGCTGAGGGGTGTTGAATGCACCGCCTGAGATGACGACCTCCTTCTTAGCCCTGACAGTGCGCACTTGGGGCTCGACCGAGGGGTCGTATCGCCGATCGGCCTCATAAAGACCTTCTCCAACCATGAACTCCACCCCATAGGCTTGCAAGCCGGCCTCAGCATTCTTCATCAGAATGCGAGTCGCGAGGCTGTGAGTGCTCAAGGTCAACGGGTATCGCGGCGTTCCATCTTCGCGTTTCGAAGCCAAAGTATCCGTGATGTAATTCCAGGGGCTGCTTCTGCGGCGGTTCTCGTCAACGTGTAGTGGTATTTGGTACAAGCCCGGGACTTCGTAACGGTCGCTATCAGCGCGGTTCAGGTCTCTTTCCATTAGCTCGATGACTTGTTCGGAGTCGGGTGCTTCGATACCCTCGGTCTGGGAGATGGCATTCTGGACCACGCGAAGAACGCCCGGCCGATCGACAACATAAGAAATGTTGTTTCTGTTCGTCTACTTCCTGTCAGTTGAATGGTCATTGCTGTTGATGAAGTCCTCTTACCGAAATATACCCATCAAACCCATGCCCTGGTGTCCCCTCAGGCGTATAGGTATTTCTCTCAAGCTCGATAAACATTGACCTCATGTTTTCAGGGCCCCAGGACTCATCTCCTGTAACCTCGGCGAAGTGGTTCCAGTCACTGTCGGGTGGGAGAACCACGTTCATAGCATTCGCGATAGCAGAACCACCAACCGTAGCTCCTCTGGGATAGTATATACCAAGTCTGAATCGGTGATTAATGACTATCCAAGCAACGGTTTGGTGCATGACTTACGGAGTTGCATCCTCGGGGGCATCAATGCCGTACCAGATTGTGCCATTTGAAAGACGGTAGGTGAAGTAACGATTGCGACGGGCCTGAGTCTCATTCTGGTAGTGAGACACAAAAAACTGCCAAGACATGGCGGGGTCCTCCGAGTTGACATCCGCTCTGTGAAGTATAAGCACATAGCTTTGTATATCGAGCGGTCTGGAACCTCACAAGCCGGGGATTTGTTGAAGAGGATCATCACCCATATTGCCTCCAGCTTCAATGAGAAAGACAGAATGGCCCTCGCGTGCAAGACTTGCGCTGAGAAATGTCAGCATTGAGAGGGTAGTCGGAGGCAATATTATTACGCTAGAGTGCCACCTCCAGGTCCTGAGCCAACGACAACATAGTCATAAGCTGTATCATTGAGAGGGCTTCCAGCCGCGCTGCTGCTGAGGAGTAGAAAGAAGGCAAAAGAAGAAAGCTTCATCATTGTGTCTGAAGAACGTCTGATTGCTGTGTTTGTATCTGCTGTATTGAAGGAATGAACTACAATGGATAGACAGTGCTCTCTTATATATCATGATGCCAAGACCATTGCAACTGTGGTTTTCTGAAGTGTGCAAAGCATCATCGTGGAAAGCATGTATCCAGCATAGGACGCACAACTTAGAGGCGTCGTCATAGTGTCTGCCAAGTTTTGATCATCATCGTCCAGGTCCTCATTGCGCATGCTGTGACAAACGCGACAATTGGTGGCTGAGCAGGCCAGATCATGAATCCTTCATTGTGGTCGTCTGTCTTGTAAAACTATTACCGGGACTATGGTGAGTTTTCCACCTGCGATGAGTTAGCAGGGTTCCGATCATGTGAGGCTAAACCCATTGCCGACTCGCTGCTCACCAGCACAGCCTGCAATTTTCTACTGAGCGTTACTTGGCGGAGTTATGGTCGGTCCTTGGCGGACTGGTGAAGCTTAAAAGAACTGATGAGCTATGGTTGGCGGCCTTGGCGTAAGGCCCACTCGGAGATAATGTGGTCAGCTTACACCCTTTATTCCGACATCAACGTGAAAGAACGGCAATAAACCTTGATGTACAACGCCTTCGTCCGTGTCTCTCTTTGCGAGGAGAAAATAAAGTCGCGCAATGCTCTCAATTTGCCAGTTTCATCTCTTCACAGACTGCAATGGGAACAACGGGTAGTCTTATTCTATCAATCCCCATCTTAAGCTAGTATTGCTGAGAACTCATGAATGCCCCTATAATAAGCAAAATGAAATGCGACAAGACAATGCCATGCTGTCTACGGGCGCCAATATCACCCGTTCCGTGAACTTGATTCGAAGATGGCACAATACTAGTACGCATTATGGAGGGCGATGACATTGCGCAAGAAATTCGTTGACTCCTCGCCTGTCTCAGGTGGACATCAGTGTATAGACCTACCCCAACTATGAGGTTGTACATAATGACTCGACATGTTTCTAAGACGGCTGAGATGCTTGATGCGAGTCTTTGGATTCATACGAGGCTATGCAAATAGCTGAGCACCCACCGCGCCGACAGTAACACCGCTATGGTCGGACGGCAAAGTGGGGTTCGGGCGTTCCGTCCGTCAAGGAACGGGACCCATAATTATCGGTGGTCATCAGCTGCCGGGCCGTGATGAGTGCGCTCGTTGGCTTATCTATGGGAGAGCGGACGGGAACCCAAGTTTTCCGATGAGCCCCTAAGGTAAGGTATAGTTGGTATGCGGTAGTTCAAGTCGTTGGAGCCGTTTATAGAAGCAAGTCCGGGAAGCTGGAAGTCGTTGCAGTCTCATCTGAACAGTACTACTTACCTACCTTGTAACTGTGGGCAAACAAAAGCCCGGCCAGGAAGATCTTGAATCGCTCATATTGATTACCCAAGAGCCTGGGAATTGAAATAAGTTAAGTGTATTAAATACTTTTCTCAAGCGACGCGCTGGCTTGGAAGGATGAAGCTGGGTCGAAGCTCTTTCCACTGGCCTCACTGGCCAATTGATTTTCCTTCAGCATCCTTTGAGGTCGCAAAAAGGCGGGGTTGGTGCCCGGGCTGGAGGGGCCGACCGGCCGGGAGGGGCAGAGCAGCCCACCGGAGGTGAGGGCGGGGCTAAGGAGTGGAACAGCCCCGACAGTTGCACTTAAGAGGACTCTATCTCGACACTGCTCACGATTGGAATCTATGCACGTGGTATATACATGGCAGCGGCATTTTACCTTGTTGGGCACTGAGAGGAACATGGAAATGAGCAAAGTTCCTTCTTCATGAAATATTGACGGTGGTGGAGGGAGGGACAGCTTCGCAGTCTTCTCCAGGTGTGACCTTCAGTCACTACATTAGTATAAATGAGACTACCATAGCACCACAGTATCTATCTATGCCATAATTTGAGTCTATGAAAAGTCCAACTACCAAACTTGTGAAATATCTGAGGAACAGCGCAAGAATCTTGCGTTGTGCTAATCGCGAGTAAGCTGTTCACGTAGGGTGACGGAAACAGGGGCCCTTACGGTGAAGCTAACCGCGTTAAGCCAGAAGTAAGCAAGCACTGGGGGAATTTCAGGTACCTACCTGGTGCTGCACAGAGGACTCGACTCTCACTGAGACTGAATCAACAGCTAGTACCTGCTGTCTGGATAACTAAGAAAAGGACGAGGTGTGCAGGCCATCGCTTGTTCGCAAATGCTGCTTTTCCCCGATCAAAGTCAACGATATCTCGGGAACCTCAGGCAATACATGCAAGGTCGCTTGCACGGCTGCGCCAGCTACCGCCTGAACGCCTCTTTCTCGTACCTGGGTCGAGTCGCTGGCAAGAGGCTGCAGGAGTGTCGCCAACTCTCTGCAGGCTACCTTGGCAAGCCCTCCATCGTGCCGCGGTTAGCCACAGCTGAGCCAATTATGGGCTGAATCAGTCCCCAGCTCTGTCAGCACATCACATTCGAACCCAGCCTGCTCGCCGGCTGAAATTCAGTTCCACCCGGCGGAGAAACACAATTTGCAATGATTCCTGAACACTGATTCATGTTGAGTCACTGAGCACTGAGCACTAAGCAGTTCCGTTGGAGATGCCACTGTTAACAGGACAGGTGAGTTACCGGCAGAGTCGTCTACCTTATAGCGCTCCTTTATTGACGAAAAATACACAGTCGGCTCCATTCTCGCAGCGGGTCTTGGAGCCGGTGTTGAAAGATGACAATTCCTCTCTGCAGGACCCGAGAGAGACTCTATGCGGATTGCTGCCGGCATCAGAGCGAGACTCGGTGGGGGATTTGAGCGATCCTGCTCGAGACGTGTTGAGGTGGCTGGGGCTGGAACTGAACCTCGACCGACTCACAAACGTCTTTGATTCCTTGTGGTTCGCGGGACGCCCAATGCCACCACGTCCTCTCCATTCTCAACTTATTCTTGCTCGCGAGATCATGGTAACTGAGCAGATGGATCTACATCTTGTATGGGGTAGAGGTCGAATCTTCATGAAGCCGCTGCCACGCTATCTGCTCGAGCCACGGTTTTGGGGAGAATACCTCCCTCATTCAACAGAGCATGTAACTTCTATACCTAGCCCTCCCTGCACTTGCGACCTCATCCGCCGACGCGCTCTCGGATTTCTCTTCTCATATGTGGCTCTTGTGGTACACGAAAGCGACTTCAGTATCGCCAAGGCGAACAATCTCCTTCCGCAAGAGGTGCAGTGGAAGTCATGGAAGCTGCTAGTCCAAGAGCTCTTGCATAAAGGGGATGTCTATCGATGCATCGATAAGCGCTTCTATTACGGAGAGCTTCGTCTCAGTCGGCTCAACAAGATCTACTTCTTCTCGAAGACCCCTCTACACGGGTATATGCCCCGGTGGAATCAGTATGGCACCTTCCTCGGCGATAACTTCACGATACTGGCTAGCTCTACCGTCTACATCGCTATCGTTCTTACGGCTATGCAGGTCGGCTTTGCGACGGATCTTCAGAACAACCCGACGTTTAAGTCGGTTTCTTACAACTTTACAATCTTTTCTATTCTTGGCCCCCTAGTTGCTGCTAGCCTGCTCATAGTCACATTTGTCTACTTATATGTCTGGAACTGGATAATCACGAAGCGCGAAGGGAAGGAGAGGTTGAAACAGATCGATCCTTCTAGGCAGAGCGATGGAGAGTAAACTCAGGGAACTCGATTTATTCTGCCTCATCTCAGGGTCTTGTCAAATTGAAAGATCTCAAATTCCACGAAATAACAAGAAAGTAGTCGTCTGTAAAGCCATGATAATATGAGTCGATAATGAGAAGATCTCACTCCGTTCCTTGTCCAGACCCAATGTCTACTTCTGGCCATCCGGCTTGGGGCTCCCTCTCTTCTTCAAACCAATACCGGCCATAAACTGCGCGGAGTTGTGTCTCATATCTTTCAATCTCTTGGCTGCGTTTTTTCCTGTGCCAGTGTCGCTCGTTGCATCTTGAGCGCTGCTAACACTCAGCGAGCTACCGGCATTCTGGCTCATCATGACGTCGTCTCCTTCTGTGAAGCTTTCGTCATCCCTGCCACCTGATGGAGTTGCTTTTCCATCTGCCTGCTGTTTGGAAAATTCCAGCTCCTTCTGCAAAGATTCGATCTGGTCCGACATGGCTTGCCGTATCCTGCTGGCTTCATCTTCTGAGGCTCGAAGCTGTCGTCGAACCTCCACGGCTTCATCCGCGGCACTCTTTCGCCGCGCTTCAGTGTCTGTCCACAGGGAATAGATTCCCTCCATCTCTTTCTGCTTCTGCTGCAAATTCATGCTGAAGTCTCTTTCCTGCGTCTCTAGACTTAGCTTGGCAGCTGCAACATTCTGCTTGAGAGCATCCTTCTCCTCCTGCAGTTTGGCGAAGCCGTATCTCGCAGCCTCGTATTCGCCTCTTTCTTTCTCAATGCGGGCGCTTTCTTCGATTCTATCACTTCTCATCTGATTCATTTGGTGCTTGTAGCTTGCCGTGCTCTCCTCCGCTTCTTGTACCTGTGACATCATGCCATTCCATCCCTTTCGCATGCGATTGAGGTCTTCCAAGTCTCTCTCCAGGCCTACGATTTTCTCTCGTAGTTGATTGACGGTGGTCATGTCTACGATATCATGGTCATCCTCCGGCCGAGCTACAAGATCTCGCGCGAAGGTGCTCCCGTTCGCAATCGCCCTCTTGAGCCCGCGGAATAGCGGAGACACGCTCTCTGCGAGTACTTGCAAGCATTCGACGTTGGCTTGACTCGCAGCTATATCAAGAGCCGTTTGTTCATCCTTTCCGGCATGCAGGATATTAGCTCCACGAGATATGATGAGATGCAGGATTCTAGCGTCCCCTTTTCGTGCTGCGCGTATGAGAGCAGTCTCGTCATGAGGACCCCGCTGATTGACGTCGGCGCCGGCGTTGAGTAAAAGCTCTGTGTCTTCGTAGGGCATGAGAAAAGCTGCATTCATCAATGGTGTTGACGAATTTTTGGGCCCCTTTACGTTGACATCAATCCCCGGGGCATCAATGAGAAGCTTCAGGATTTCAGACCGATTCCTTGCTGTTGCGGCAAGAATAGGACTGTTGTATGGTCCTCGCCCAAGGTTTGGGTTTGCCTTCCACTCTAGGAGAACACTCACGACTTCAGTTTTCCCTGATTCGCAGGCCGCTTGTAAGGCAGTGCCTTCCTGGAAGTCGGATCCCCTATAGCCGTCCTCCTCTTCAGGAATTCTGTCGACCTTGGCCCCGTGGCCAAGGAGATGTCTGACTACCTCAGCATGGCCTTCTTTGGCCGCTAGCTGCAGTGATCATCCAGTTGGACTGTCAATCTGAGCACCATGCTTGATCAAAGTCCTCACGATCTCAATAGTGCCGTCCCAGGCGGCGGCGGCCAAGGCATTTCCAAAGGTCGGAATAGCTGTGGAGCGAATGGAATCCAAAATGCTAGGACGATGGTCCGTGGCATTAGCATCAGCTTTGCAATGGTCGAGAAGCCATGCCACAGTATCGGCTTTCTGGTTGTCTGTAGCCTGATAAAGCGCTTCATTGAGTACTTCTTTCGCAATACTTGCGTGCGAAGCCCTCCATGTCTCCTTGAGCACGGTAGCGGATGCCGACCCGTCGCGTAAGGTCACTGCTGCCAGATAGAAAACATTGCTGCCGCCTAAGTCTGCTCGGGAAATCGCTAAAACGCAATCCCAGTTGTTCTCAATGGCAGCAGTGAGCACTGCAGATGCTAGAGTTTTGTCATTGAAAGAGGTTCCTGTGTGTTCAAGAAGAGCTCTGATATTTTCCGGCTTGTTGTTACGGCATGCTTGTACCAGGGCTTGTCTGTGATGTTGCGCTGTCCACTTTGCCTTGCCGCCAAGTAGTATTTGTTTGAACACATCTTCTGGAGATAAGCCCGTAGCAAGTGCAAGAGACGGTGAGCCATCGGGATTGGATGCATCAAGGTCGATGTTTCGACCCAAGGATTGGAGCGGAGCGAGTCCAGGAGGATTGGTTCAATCCGTGAACTATTCGACTTGTCATAATTTGGACATAAGCAAAGCCTTGGTTTTCACTATTCTCTTCATACCCATCACACATTGAAGTTCGTGGCTGGACCTTTGACTCAGAAGGTTGGTCGAGGTACGTACCGCCAGCCCTCGCTCAGTGATGTTGGAATCCTGTGCCAATCGATAAATACCGAAAGATCATTTCGTGCAATTGAACTTCTATAATAAATATCTAATCAGGATGTAGACGAAGGAATGAAAGTTACACCATGGTATATCGCGGCATTGGGTGAAGGCAAGCTCTCGAGATCGTTTGTACGCACCAGAGATACCATTGTTTAACAGAATCACTTTGTCGTTTCACTGGTTCTCATTGCACCAGCTACTTCATCACTCATAACACCTGAGGACAAGCGCATAGCCCTTAGACAAGCCCGCGGTCGGCCGGCGTATAAAGCGGGTCGGCCAAAGCCGCGTCCGGCAATACAAGTGGGGCTGTTTCGGCGCCGGTTCGTGCGACAGTAAGTGGTGTTCTGGGCGCCGGACAAGCGAAGTATAGAGGAATAGCAACATGACGGAGCTTCTCTCTGTTCTGTTAAGACTATTCACACAATCCCAAGATCTAGTCACACCCGTATGTGATGTTTGCGCGAGGGAAGTACCCATTCAATAGACGCAAACACCTCGGTTTACCCACAGGGCTCTCGGAGCCCTCCTTCCCGTTTCCACTCCTCAAAATCATTCCTCGTTTCTTGCGGCTGAATATGTTTCATTACCCAATGCTGACCATGAGTCTTGTAAGAGGCGGGTCTTCCGTTTAGCCATTATTTCAGCCTCTGGACATAACTGGTGAAATGTAGCACAACGCATTATAGCTGCCGTTCGCCATTACCCATTTTGACGGCCGTCCACCTAGCAAAGGTGTGAAACGACACGTGCGGGGTGGACGCGACGAATAGACTTCCTATGAGTATCAAGAAGTCTGTTTATCCCACCGGTACACCCGCTCACCGTGCCACTTGAGGTTTCGTCCGTCCATTCTCTCCAATAAGATAATGGGCCGAATCCAAGCTCTCGGGTCTTCCTTGCGGCTTCTCCACCGAGCTTATTTTCTCTCCAAACGCCTGGGTCTCAAGGAAAATGACCTACTACTTTACGATAGTGCCAAGTTGCGTATGATACATAGTTTAGAATATGGAAAGGCTACGGAAAACCCGAGAAACCCAAGTTAAACCCTGTTGAGATTCGAAGACATAAAGGAACTAAGCCCAGATCTCGTGAAATGTCGATAGACTGCGAGATATCAACGAAAATTGACAACAATATACTCTCTTTGAATCTCGTAATTCCGGCCGTGTTACGTACTAATAAGCCAATCATGGAGTCTTCACGAAGGGGCTGGTCTCCTCGATCGACGACTATCGGCATTACTTTGCTTACTTTACTTACACTTGTGAATGCGCAACAACCAGTTCAAGTCAAGCTGGACGATGGACCATACTCTGGCCTGACAGCGAATGGCGTCAACAAATTCTTGGGCGTTCGGTATGCGGCACCACCACAGCGCTTTGCACCATCGGTGCCTGCTTCGATGGCGCCTCACAACGACGTAATGAACGCGACAGCCTTCGCTCCATCCTGTATTCAGGCTATACCTGGTGAGTGAAAATCTCCTACTACACATTGGAGCTCGGCTGTGGCTTTACTCCGGTTGATCATGGCATTGACTTTCAAAAGCTGCGATTGCTGCCATGATGCCGTCCGGTCCTGAGAGCGAAGACTGCTTGTTCGTCAATGTCTACGCACCTTCTTCTCCGCCACCCGCCGAAGGAAGAACTGTCATGGTGTGGTACTATGGTGGGGGCTTTCAGTTTGGTTCTGCCAACACACCGATGTTCGATGGCTCGAGCTTTGCACAGAATCAAGACGTGATCGTCGTGACGCCAAACTACCGGACGAGCGGTGAGTAACCATTGTTGACGAGAGAAAGCACCGCTATGCCTTTGTAGTTGGGCGTTGCTGATTGACTTGACTCTAGTCTTCGGATTCCCAGGCGATGTCGAGGGCATACCTCCACAAATGCGCAACGTCGGTCTTATGGACCAGAAACTAGCGCTTCAATGGGTTCAGCGTAATATCAAAGCCTTCGGTGGTGACCCAAATAAGGTGACTTTGTTCGGGGAGTCAGCTGGTGGCTCATCAGTCGACCTCTTACTACTCACGAGCGGTGCCCAGCCCCCGTTCCGTGCGGTGATCACCGAGTCTGGAACCGCATATCTCGTAACTGGACCCCAGGCAGGCGGAGATATCGTCGGACTCATGACCGGCCTCTTGGGCAGACCAAACATGACAACTCCATTTCAAACTCTTGCAGCTTCGCTCAATTGCGGCAGCCAGAAGGCGCTTGATTGCGTTAGAGCAGCCCCGGTCGACGCCCTGGTGTCCGTACTCTCAAAAGGTCCCTTCAACTTCCCACCTGTAGCCGACGGAGACGCAAACGTACCGACCTCACCTGATGCTACACGGGCTTCCGGCAAGGTTTCCAAGATACCCATGATGATAGGAACGAACCTCAGAGAAGCCGACATTTTCACGATGGGTCAGCCACCAACCGCGTTGGATGCCTTCGTCGCTGCAACATTCCCCAGCGACGATGCGTTGCAAAAAGCTGTGATTGCTGGATATCCAGTCGGAGCCGGAATGCCTTTCCCGACTCCCAAGGATGCAATCACACAATTTGCCACGGACTTGGATTGGAGCTGCAGCATTGCGCATGAAGCTCGTCTCTCGGCCCAAGCCGGGATGCCGACTTGGAGATACCTCTTCAACTCCACCTCGTTCCCACCAACGCCCGGAGGTATCCTGTCTCGCCCGGTACACGGCTCTGAGATCAGCTTCGTCTTTGGCAACCTCCCGCCGCCGCCGGCGACGCCCGACCAAGCTCTTGCCTTGAGCAAGTTCATGCAGACAGCGTGGGCCAACTTTGCCAAGAACCCTGCCAATGGACCTGGTGTGCCTGCCTGGACGCAATTTTCTGGCAAGCCTGGTGCGATGGACCTGGGGAACTTGGGTGGTATTGTCGGGGACGGAGTATCTATGACAGATTCAAATGTGATCGACAGTCGTTGCAATCTTTTTGATGCGTCATACGCTAGGAAAGTGTAGGAGCATCACAGTTGAGCTATAAGTTACTGCATCTCTAAGCGCGAATTCAATCGCTACTCACCCTCAACCTTCACCTTGACTAGAATAACGATGATGTGACTAGGCGCATGAATTCATGCGAAAGAAATCAGCTTGTTGTTTGTTAGGCTACTCAACTCCTAATCTAGGCTTTGAGGGAGTTCATCACGGTGGTTTTGAAATCCTCCGGCTCTCTTCCCAAAAGCTCGCTCAGCAACGGTGACGCAGCAGCCGCCTCACCCCTTCGGAACGCCTCAAAGGCCGAAGCCCACGGCTTCGAGTAGTCAACTCCACGGTAGGTAAAGTTAGGAATGACTTGAGCCTGGGAGGCGAACTCATCATCCGAAACCTGCTTGATTTGGACTGGAACCTTTGCGATCTCGCTGAGGATGCTGACTGTTTCCGACAGGGTCAATGTCTTCGTTCCCGAAAAGAGAATCGTCTGTTGGCGGTAGGGGAAGCCATCAGGGTCTGCAACGTAGCGAGATATGAGCTCAGCTGTTGCTTCTCCCAGCTCTTCTCTCTTGACCCATGCGATACCGGGGCCGGTGCCGTCATGAGGAATCTTGATCTCGTTTACAGGTCGAGCTGGGTCAAAGAACGAGGTATAGAGTGGGTAAGACTCAGTGTAGAGCCCCTCGCGGATGATTGTAAAGTCGAAACCGGGATGCTCTTTACGGCATGCTCGAAGGTATCCCTCAGTAAGGAGGTGTGCCTTCATGACGTGAGCTACTGACTCCTGATTCTTTGCAGATCCAGCAAAGCCCAAGGACCCATAAAAGATGTGCTTTACACCACTTGCAATGGCAGTGTCGATGGCCAACTTGTGCCGCTTTGCGTGATCTTGTCAGCTCTCATACATGTTAAAGTCATTCAGATAGTAAAGCCTTACCTCAAACCTGTGTTCAACCTCAACTGATGCATACGAAATCAAAAACAAGGTCTTGATTCCGCGAAAACTGTTCCGAATTGACTCATCGTCGTCGTAATCAGCTTGTCGAACGTCTGCTCCCAGCTCTCGTGCATGCGAAAGGTTGTTGGGGTTCCTAGCGATGAGGATCAGGTTTGATGGAGAGAGGCGTTGGATAATGTGCTTTACAGTGCCTCCGCCGATACCCCCAGAGGCTGGGAAAATGCCAACTTTGTGTTGCGTAGATGAGCTCATTTTTGTCACACGAATGATAGACGAACAATGTAGGATATCGTGGTTATTTTACGAAACTCGAGACAACTTGGACGGTTCATCTCGAATCATTAAATAGTACTTCCTCTCATTTGAGACGCAGAAACGTCACATTTGTCCTTTGTACTCCGTGGAACACCTGGTCACAGTGAAGTGGGTATTTTCGGTGGATAAATCTCAAGCAGTCTCCTAGTCACTCAAGCTCGAGCTTAGAAATTGGCTCATCGCTGAATAATCACTCTGCAGACGAAATTCCTGAGTTGAAGTCCGTGGCGCGACTTGATTTCGAGGCCTTGAGCACCAAAAGATCATGAGCTAAAGCATTCAAATGTGAGGCCTTGTTGTAGCCCTAGAGTCTCGGCGACATGTTGCTACTCACTCGTGACGAGTTCAGTTCGCAGTGCTCCCTCTGACTAGTCACCGGTCGGGGAAATGCCGCCTCCGCCCCTCACACCGGGAAAAGCGGGTCTCTCGACCGTTCGCCTCCGGCCCCTTGATCCGGCCCCGCGGGATAACAGAAGGCTAAGATTGGAATGCTAGTTCGAACGAAAGCTTCATTATTTTTCAACTATCTCAAGATGAGTTTTAATTTGCGCTCCCAATCTTCGTTTTGATGCCTGTATTTGCTACATCTACTTTGGTTTGTGTCGGGTTTTAAGACTCGTACCTGGAATGCGCTTGATCCTTTAAGCTTAAGTAGATATCTAGCAAGCGAGCATTCTTCTTTAGAGACCTATCTCTCAGCGACTCTGAAGATCCATAGCTGGATTCCTCTAGTGCGCGGCAGTATTCTGCATCATGACTTTGACCATTGGCCTAGGGCTTCGCTGGCATGTAAAACCAATCGTCGGCCTCCCGACGGCTGTCTCGCCACCCATCAGCCGAGGAATGCAACAAAATGATTTCATTAGAGAACACGCTTCTGACACCGAAACCTGTGTCTGTAGTTCATGTCATTACCGGACCGAAGAGGGACAAAACCACATGTCGCCCCGGCCCGTAGAACTCGCTCAGATCCGCAAACGTGACCGCTCCATCGAACAAGTTGATCTCCATCATCTCAGCCGGAAATTCCAAGGTGTCCTGAGCTTGTCAAATGAGCTGTACTTGATCAAAAGTTTGAGAAATCATCACTCCATCTCTTTCTACCGGTTTTGAAAAGGGCCCGTTGAAAGTAGCTATGCTTGTACCTCGACATACATTATCCAACGGTTCTGTCTTGCTGTGTGATACCGAGCATTCGGGTCACACTTCGACTTCGTCTTCTTCATCATCCTCAACCATGCCTACTCTTACGACGTCCTCTTCTACCTCCTCCACTTCTACCTCCTCTTCTACTTCAACTGATTCCTCTACTACCTCAATCTTAACAACATCCTCTTCTACCTCGTCTTCATCTACCGACGCACCGACAACAACAGGCTCTTCATCCTCTAGCACCGACACGGCTTCATCTAGCACAGACAGTCTTACTTCCTCAAGCTCAAGCAGTTCAAGCTTCAGCGGAAGCACCACCGCTACGCCCACCACATCCAGCTCCAGCTCACCTACTGCAGACACCAGCAGTACGGCATCTGCTAGTAGCACTAGCTCGTCCACCGGCAGTCTAGGAAGCTCATCTGCCAGCTTTTCGGGAAGCTCCTTGACCAGCAGCTCGGCGACTTCATCTTCGAGCAGCACGTCTCTGAGTAATTTGGTCACGAGCCTTCTCAGCATCAGCAGCACTCTCGGCGGCATCAGCAGCAGCAGCAGCAGCAGCAGCAGCACCTCCTTGCTCTCTCTCTCCTCGACCAGTGTGCCCACAATCTCGGCTTCTATCCTACAAAGCAACTCCTCAGCCGTCCTAATTTCAACTTCCAGCTCTTTGACCAGCTCTCTCACCGCTCTCCCTCCGTCGTCGTCATCCTCTTTTGTTGTAGTCTCGCCTACGTTGACTTCCGATACAAGGGGAGTCTACGATCCGTCCCTCAGTCTAGCCTCCCCTCGTCCGTCTACTACTCCATCTACTACTCCATCTGCTACTTCTTCATCTACTACTTCTTCATCTACTACTTCTTCATCTACTACTTCTTCATCTACTACTTCTTCATCTACTACTTCTTCATCTACTACTTCTTCATCTACTACTTCTTCATCTACTCCTCCAGCTACTACTCCGTCTACCACTCCGTCTATTACTTCATCTGGCATCCCTTCGACGTCGTCGAGCTCCACAGGAGTTGCTTCTATCCCTGTCGGAGTTCTGTTCAATCTGCAAGTTCTCGCGGCTGCCGTTCCTACCAACCCTGTCTAGACACGGCTTCGTGCCTTGCAGGCCCTAAGTTGCATTTTCTCAGGGCCTTTATCATCTCTCATTGCCCCTCCGGTAACATCCATAACATAATCGGGTTTGATAGAAAATAGCCATTTTTAATCAAACTTAGTTGAGATTTCTCCAACATGTTCCAAGGCCGCTGGAGGTGTCTTGTCAGATTCCACATACTGTGACCGTTTTCCCATCGCGAAGTAAATGGGAAGCAAGCATTCATGAACAACAATTCCATGCTCGATAGTGCAAATGAAGCTTTTACTATGTTCATCAACCCACTCCGTTCTTCCCCCCACCCCCCCGCTTCACACACTAATATACCCCTCGAGCTGCGTGACAATCGACAGCTTCCCCCCACCCTCTCTTAGATCAGCGGTCGAGCTTCGTCCACAGCCATCGGCGGCAGCATACCAAGCTTGCCGAACTCGCGGTACGTCGCAAAGACGCCCTCCGCCGTGTCGACGAATCCGTTCCAACCCATCATGCGGGCCTTGTTCGGGCTAAGGCGGCCGTAGGCATCTGGCACCACAGCAACGTCCGTGAACATGAACTGGCCCTCGGGGTCCTCGAATGGGTCGTTGAGCAGGTTGTGCTTCTTCATAATCTCCTTCCAGGCTTCGTGGTTCTCGGGCTCCTTGGCCCAGGCGACAAAGGACCAGGAGAACTTCAAGCTTGTACGAGGGCCGAAACTAGACACAGAAAATATCAGTCAAGGGCTTCATCCTCACAATGAATCAGAAAGACACGTACCCAATAGGCGGCTCGCCAGGCATGGAAATTGTCTGCATCTTCGACTCATCCAGCTCAGGCCTCCCAACCTCTGAAATCCCAAACCACTTCGCAAGCTCAGGCCAGAACAACGCATAGCTAAACGATCCCTGGTCACTCGAGTTGAACGCCTCATTCCCGCAATGCTCATTCAAAACAGCCCACTCGGTCAGGTACCCGGTAAGGTGAGCGTGCGAGTGCGCGTGGTCCATGAGCCAAGCCGCCATCGTGCCGGGGAACTCGAGCGGCCTGCCGAGGTGAGCCTGCACGGCGGCGTAGACGCCGAGCCCGTAAAACGCATTCATCTGCGCGCTCTCCACGGCGCCGATGATCCAGGAGGGGCGGATGACGTTCCATTGTGCGCCCGTCCTGGCGCAGTGGTCAAAGAGGGCGTCTTCCTGCGGGTAGTAAAAGTTTGGCTCGCTGGTGACGCGCTTCGCTGATTCTACAAAGGGCGAGATGGCCTGGCCGATGTGGCCGCCGTAGTTCTTGGCGCCGGTCTGCAGGACGATGCGTTTGGGGCGGATGGCGGACTTTTCGAGGCCGCCTAGGAAGTTCTGAAGCAAGGCGGCTGGCCAAGAGTGTTAAACAGAGTGATATTTCTTCCCGAGCGGGGAAAAGCGCTTGTGTGGACTTACAGTTGACTTTGACGAGAGCTTCAGCGTTGGACCAAGCCGCGGCGCCGGGCTCGGGCTTGGGCTGGAGGTAGGAATAGAAAAAGACGTAATCTGCCGTGACTTGACGCTCCTTTAGACCCTGCGCGATGACGTCCGCGTCCGCCAGGAAGTCGAGCGAGATGTGTTCAATGCGCGCCTGTTGCTCGGCGGAGAAGAAGTTCATCATCTTCTCTGAGAGGGGGCTTCTCGACACTATCCAGACCTTCTTCCATCGCTGCGGCGCATCGAGGAGGACCCTGAGGGTGTGAAATCCGCTGATGCCATTGGCGCCGGTGATGAGGGCTGTCAAGTATGTGATATCCGATGGAAAAGTTGGCAAGTTGCGGAAGATGCCTTTGTTCTGAAGAGGGAGGGCTTGAGACATCGCGTCGGTGTATGAGTGGTTTGCGTGATTGAAGTCTCCAAAATGTTGATCTGACCTACTGATTACTGGAAATACATTGCCGATTGGATACACTCAGTTCCTACTTATACAATTATTGGACGGTACCCTACCAAGGCCCTGAGTTGGAGAAGTCCCCTCGCAAGAGGTGATTGTTTGCCAATTGGTCATGTTCGTCTCACCATCCCACCGGCTGCAAGTGGGTGAAGATGTGTCGACGCATACCTACAGCAGTGTCTCTTGCCATTTTACAGGTCACGGCGGGATATGTTTTCCGCAGCTTCTACAGCTTAGAAGACGCTCAACGTTATGAAAAGCAAGTGTTCGCAGTCGCATCAAAGTCTGGGTTGAATGCATGCCAGCGATCCACATCTAGCAGCTCTCTCAATGTAAGTCATTACGTAGTGTTCTTCAAACGGCGTATTCGCCAGAACGCAGTTTGACGTTCTAGATCTACAAACTGGCGGGGCCTTCGGTCCAACCATCCATCCGGGTGACCCAGTCTGCGATGCGTAGCGAGAATGCGAGATGCCGTACGGACGAATTCATCAAGCAACGTCCTCTTGTACGGCCGAGTTTCGTACCAAAATTCCTTGCCGCGGCTCAGACCGAGGCAAGTGGGGCTTTCTGCCCACGGCACCCGGCCCACGGTCCACCGCCATTCAAAGACGATCCTTTGGCTAAAGACGGTAAGACTTAAAGGATGGCGCGCCGGGGCTGCAGAAACGACGCCTCGCCGCTTGGGACCCCGCAAGACCGGTACCGATAGACGGGCAGCGTCGAGGGACCTGTTGACCCAACGGGAGTTACCCACCTCCGGCGGGATGAAGTTTGTTGTGGGGACTTAAAGCCGCCGCCTGTCCCGGAGAGAGCCCCTGATGAAGTTGTGATCCAACATCGAGTGTGTGTATATCCTTTTTCAGCATCTAATCCACAAAAGCTCCGCGATATCCCCGTTCGTCCGCCGACTCGCTTCGTAAATATGAAGATTTACTTCCAGACGGTCGATGTGGTGCATTCAGAAGACTGGAGGCTGAACCCTTCAGGGCGCGGTACTCGCCGTCTACAAAGTGAAGCTCGTTCAAAGTCGAAATCAGACTGTGACGGTTCTTCGCCAACATCATCAAATGTAATTCCACCCCTATAGACCACATGTTACTCGGTAGTTATATTCCACTACTCTTCCCCTGACTCCAAGTTGGAGTCTGTTTTGTGCTCAAGCTCTCATGCTCCTTTCCATCTTCACCACTTCTACCTCATCATTACATGATTTAACACCACAAACTTTCTAGGGCCGTGAAGTAACAGACAGTCAAGCCTGGGACCGCGAGGTGCTCGTCCAGGTATCTTCATTACAACAAACAAACTTCCACGCGGTAAAGCTACTACCGCGGCACCGCGACCCATCAGAGTGGCACATCTCGGTGAGATCCGGCGGTAAAGACGGTGAGGATGAGGAGACCATCATCGTGGACGACTCGATGCAGAACAAGTTCAACATCAGGTGCAACGCGCTGGTCTACGACCACGAGCAAGAGGACTTGATCTCCATGTTGAACATGTCACCGACGACGGTCGCCTGTATGGTGAAAAGGGGATGATGATAGATGGGGGGAAGGGGCGTTTTGCAATTACGACATATGGGACACGATGGGAAGGAAAGCAATAGACCAAAGAGACACAACTTACAATTTCGGTTATAGGACGGAAGTAAGACAGCTGATTAATGTACAACGAGAAATTGTTCGTTTTCTTTCGTTCTACCTGTGGCACTCGGTCATACGATGGTCATCGGTGCTGGGCTGCGTCTTCGATCGGGTTCCTCGAGTCCAACCTCGTGACTAGATATGATACGTGCGAGCACTTGATACCGTCTATCGTTGGTTTCACAACTATCCTACCTATTATTATGATTGGCAACCGTTATGGTGGTAGCGTACATCCGCAACTTGAACAACAGGATCGGTCCGGCAGGACCTAAGAACTAGCAACCGCTAGATACGGGACGGATGTGACGAAACACAGATTTCGGATAACGGGCAGCGACCACGAAGTCAATGATGTATAAGTCAAACCAGTTCTGGCTGGACATTCTCAAAATCTGATGCGACCTCATATCACCGAGAATTCCTCATCTCGCACTCCTTATCCCATAAATATCAACAGCAAGCAAACATGATTCTCACGCCCTTCCACCACCTAACCATCCTCATAGCATCAGCCGAACCAGCCCTCTCAACCCTCGTTCCCCCAGGCTCCCAACAAGGAACCTACATCGTAACCCTCACCCCAGAAGGCGAAGAACTCCACACCCAACTCTCCGCCATTCCCAACATCCACGCCGTAGAAGATAACCTCTCCCCATCCTTCCAAGCCACACCACCACTTACACCACACCTCCCCCGTCGCGACGCAACATCCTGGCCTGCCAACACAAAACCCCTCTGCTCCGACAGCCCCTGGATCACCGCCGCCGCCTTTACCTCCAACCCCAACGGCGCCCGCGACGCCTTCGCAGCGCAGTGCGCCGCCCTCAACGGCAAGCGCCTCGGCTACCGCGAGAAAATCTACAGCCACTGGGGCGACGCGGTGGCGTACGTGTGCTCGTACGCGGGGAGCGGGGACGTGGGCGACGGGAGGGGCGGCGGGAACCCGTGTGTCGTGCAGGAGTGGGTTGATGCCGTCGAGTGGGCTGCCAGGGCTTGCGGGGGCAGCAATGGGGATGGGTATATGGAGTGTGGTGAGTTTTCTTCCTCTTCTGCTTTACATTTACCTCCCAGTCTTCCATATAGAAAGTCTTGTAAGGATGTGTGGTGGTGTATGAACGTGCTGACTTGTGAAATGGTACAGCCTACCTCTCGATTCCTGGATGGAAAAAGGTGAGGTGAACCCCCGAAGTTTGACCCCTGACGGGATGGCCGGCTGACTTGTCCTCTAGGCGTACGGATACACACACATCAATACTTCCTTCTGTTTTTAAGGGAGTTGTGGTTAAGCACTTGCAAGCTTGAAAAGGTAGGAAAGTCGTGGCATGGCAGAAGTCACGTCGGGATAGCACTCTGCTTTCCAATGCAGATTATATAAAGCTGTCGCAAATTCAACAGGGAAGATGATACCGCAGTGGCGTGTTGAAATGGTCCTCTTGTATCATGCTGTGAACACTGTAAGCCAACTATCCACACTATTTACCCACGCCCTCGGTCTTCCCTTGAGAAATTTGGCCAGCCTATCAACGATGGCATCGCTAGTCTCCTGGGTGTTGCCAGAATTCCCGCCGAGGTCCAGCTAGGCCTTTTACTGAGATTTTCGGAGATCGGTACATCCACCTTCACATTGCTTCCTCGGTCACTCTGCATAATTCCAGTCATCTCACAATAGCTCCAGTATTCTCTTTCTTAGCATCCTCTCGTTTGTTATTCATAATTAAGCCGCAAGGTATGTACTCGGGAATTATATATACTCATCAATATCCAAGATGACGTGATGACGGATTGCCCCGTTTCTCTTTCTAAACCTTTTCTTTTCCTCGCGTGCCGTCATCGACTTTTCGGGGCCGGTCATTATCGTTGTGCTCCAAAATGCACTCACGTATTACCTGAATGATTTGCGGGCTAGCGGGCTCGCCCCAGGCGGTCCCAGCGTCGGGCCATTACCCCGGAGTCGACCGCCTCGCATGTTGGGTGTGTTTGAACAGAAGGCACATATGTACACGGATGGAAGTGTCCGCTTGGATATGTTGATACACGATCCATGGAGCCACATTTCGCAGGACTCACTTGTGGAATGTTAGCATTGGTAAAGCATCATAGGTGATAGCCGGCCATCTTCACGAGGCAGGCTGGGGACGGCATCATACCATTGGACCATGTACTCTCCCTGTCTATCCGTGCTGTTCCTGCAGACGCATCGAACGTTGTACGTCGCTTTCGTCGGCGAGGGTAGGCTGGCCTCCGTGAAACCCGTCGGTGACATCATACCCCCGAGGTGGTCTTGAAAACTGCCCGACGCAAATCGCTGTGATCGTTGACTGCCAGGTGCCTGATGTCCACGCTTTTGTCGGCTCTCAACGAGCTTCCGTAGCTCGCTTGCTGCATCACCCCCCTTTCCCTGTGCCTCGTTCATCACTGTTTCGGCCTCGCTCTCAGCCTCGTGCTGCGAAACCGACGCCCCCAAGCTGCTCGAGCTGTGTTCACTAACGCTCCTTCGAGACGAATGGAACATGGAGGCCGACGACGGTCGACGAGGATCTGGTAATGCGAACGAAGTATTTCGGCTGGGAATGATGATTGGTTCGTCGTCTGTCGAAGAGTCGTCATCCTCGGATTCCCAGCTCTTCTCCCTGCGCGGCATCTCCCGGGTCACCGGGAGTCTTCGTACCTCCTCGAGTCGCGGCTCATCCATCACCATGGTGGTCTCGGCCCGCGCCCTGCCTCTCGAATCGATCGTGAACTTCACAGCTGTGCGAGGTCTCGGAGGAGCCGACTCGGGTATCGACGTCAAGCTCGAGAGGCGAGAGTGCTGCTGTTTCAGGGGCGAGATCCTGCCAGACGGGCGGCTCGGTGGCCTACTTGGGCCAGCTACGGGACCATTGGCCACCTGAGGCCTCGGCTGTATGGCTGGAGCGAGCTTAGGCAATGACGGCTTTGCGAGTCCGCGTCTTCCACGATTCTCACTGGCACTTCGTTGCAGTCCATTGAGCCGCCCATTCGTTTTGACCGGGGAATTGAGAGAAGCATGACCGGATGGCCTTCCTTGACCCAGCTCCTTGGTACTGAGGGAGCGACGAATATCGCCGTGCATAGGCGCTCTCGATTGTGATTCTGCAGCCGCTGCAAGGGCAAACTGTGCCGAGCCTTGTGTGACGGGGATGTTTGCACCCATGTTTGTAGATAGCGGTCGACCGAACAAGACACCAGGATCGACTCCGCCGGGACTCATAATACCGAAGGGGTCCTCCATGGAGGTTGAGAACGAGTTTGTAACCATGGAGATGTCTGCCGAGCTAGACTGGATGTTGTTCATGACAGGTTTAGGAGCCAGGGGCCGTGTCCGTTTGATGGGCTGGGCAGTCTCTTGGCTACCTGACGGCGGCAGGGTAGCGGGCTCTTGGAACATTTGCGAGGCGTCAAAGGAAGGCATATGGCGATGTCCCGAAGTTTGAAAGACATTAGGACCAAAGGAGAAGTCGATTTCCATGCCCGACATGTCGGCACTCGGATCCCAGAAGCTTGCGGAAGCGTTTGCCGGAGCCGACATGGGATATCCGAACATGTCGGTAGCAGTCACAAAGGCCGCCATGTTGGGATGTTGTGGGTTTCCAGAAAAGTCAGGCTGGCCGTAGCCATGGTCATTCTGCATGTTGTCGTCCTGTAGCTTCGGAGCAAGCTTCCGGCCACCCTTGTGGGAAGATGGGGGAGGAGTTGCCGTTTGCCCGTTCAGATCCGCCACGCTCTCCCTGCCTTGTGAACTTTTTACGATGTTGTCTTGTGACGCCTGCTCTGGGCTGGCCGAACCGCGTTCCTGGCTGGAAAAGTCTGCTTGTTCGATCGGGGGCCTGGGAGAAGAGGGCAGTCGTCGAGCTGCGGTGACCGGGGGTAGAGGTAGGTTCGCGTTGGGAGAGAAGTGGTTGGCATGTGTTGCTATCTGAGCAGCGAGGCTCTCGGCGGACAGAGGCCTCTTGAGGCTTGCCGAAGCAGGAAAGGTAGTAGCACCTGTGGCAAAGTCGGGAAAGGAACCCGGAGAGCCTCGAAGGTTACCTGGGGTTGTGTTGAAGACGGAGTATTCCTCTGCAAAGCGAGGCGTCCAACCGCCAGCGTCGTCAAAGTGACCCTGGGACTGCTTGGGGGTTTCGAAAACGGGGCTCGGGAAAACGGCGGAGGTGGGAGTCTGTTTGGGGGTGGGCGGCTGAGCGTTTGGGTTTCCAAAGCTGTAGTCAGAGTTTCTGGTTAGCAAAATGGCGTTTTGATAGATTGTCCGGCCTGCCAATCTTTGCGACCTGGTCGAGAGGCAGAAACAGAAAGACGAACGTGAACGGGGCGGGTTTGGTAGAATTCTTGCCTGGACGCCAGCTGATCCCCACTCATAGCAATTCTACTGTAGTTCACACAACCCTAACTTGAACATGACATGAACCACCCTAACAAACGGAATTGTGCAGATCTGAGGATATCGAGGAGTTCAGAGGACAGCCAAAGGAAGGCCAGGGGTGCAATCGGCGGCTTGGGGGTCGGGGGAAGCGAAGAGTGAGTGCTGTCGATTGGTCGGTTCGTGAATGTGAGGTAGGTAGGTAGGTGGGTAGATATCAGGCGGGGGCGACGTCAGATGCGTATATCATTGATCATTACAGAAGGTCCAAGACGGCAATTTCATGGGGAGAAGACTGATTACACCGAATGGCGAAGAGCTGGCGTGAGCAAGAGGCTTGTATGCGTAAGGCGTCGGAGGAACTCGAGCCTGGGGGGGGTTGGGAGTCGAGGGGAAGTTTGTGAAAAGGGAGGTCCGTGAGGTGCGGCGCAGAAAGCGTATCGGGACTCTCTGTAGGGCGGTGGGAGCGTGATGACAGAAGCAGATGAAATATCTAATCGTCAGAATCGTAAGACGGCAGATGCGAAGACTGGTCTGCAGCGAAGGGCGCTTCCTGGTTCAAGCAGAAGGCAGAATCCAGAAGAGGCAGCACAAGAAGGGGGAAGAAGAGAGATGGTGAAGAAGTGCTAAGGAGCGTCCAGGAACCAATCGTTCACTTTGTGGGAGGGAGAGGATAGAGTGTGAAGAAGACCAACACCAGGGAAACGAGATGGTCAGGTAAGGTACCTAGTAGCAGCCGCAGCCGATGCAGTATTCAATGGCAAGTTACTGCATAAGCAGGTGAGGAAAGGTAACCTCAGGACGGCGCACAATTGTGCCTCAATGTTAGGTACTAGGTACGTAGATATTGGCAGTTGACAGATGGCAGATGGCAAGCCACGAGCTAAGTAAGGTACCTTTAGGCAGGCAGAGATGGCCTTCTCTCTCTCTCGTGTGTTGGAGCTGGCTAATTTTTATTCCTTGATTCATCTCCGTAGGGATGCAGAAATACAGAGAGGAACAACCTACCTCAGGTACCTTTGGGTGGAAATGCAAGGAAGTACCTCGAGTTAAGGTCGTGGAACGGTACGTATCCCTAGCAGTGGGCATATCTCATTGGGCAAGGCTTGACAAGATAGCGGGATAGGAGCACTGTCCAGGAGAGCACAGCGCACGTGGTGAGACTTCGCTGCTCGCCTACAATTTACCATTAAAACTCAGATGCGAAAGTCACAGGCGCTTCGTCCGACTGGCTGCCTGTGTTGCTGGGAGCTCCCCGGGGGATAGACCGTTGCGTGCTCTGCTGTGTCGTAATTAGGTTATAGGGCCAATTAGCTAAACGAAACAATCTCTGACTACACATGCCGTACCCTAGGTATTATGTTTCTTCCTTTCTTGCTTCTCTTACACACAAAATGACAAAGACCAAAGGGAAAGCCACATGTGTCGAGTCCAGTCTGACCAGATCGCCATGACGCCCCCTAACGGCGTTGGCTTCCAGGCTAGAAGCTGACCGATGAGGGGGAAACTCGGCCAACGCCATGAAGGAAAAGATAGGCCAACGTGGCTCAATAGGGAGGCCGGAAGGGTGTCCTGGGCCACCTATGCTGACAGCTGTAGCATTAGGTGATGGGCAAGTACAGATAGCAGAGGTGGTGACTAAGATACTCTGTAGGCTCTGATCGCCGAGGCAGAGCGCAACTTGTGCCAGCTGAAACGACCCACGATACCAACTGCAAAAGGGGTTCCTGAACCTACCTCCAGTCGCTATCTTCCTTGGTGACCAGATGTATCGTTGTCGAGATACTCTTCTCCTTAGACAGATGCCAGCGCCTATCTAGGGTTTCAACGTGGGCAAATACGGGATGAGGGCGGCACACAAGCTTTCGACCGGCGTCGTCGTCCTGGGGAGCCAAGCCAGAGAATACAGCGAACCAACGACCTTGGAGGGCCCGTCTAAAGGGAATGGCGCAATCAGATGGCATGAACGGGCTTGCCAGGCACGGTCACAGTGGTGGGTGGTGTGGTGGTCTGCTGAGGTTGATGTTTGATCCGGGCGGCGGCTAACACAGCTAATGTACTACTGTTAGTGGCTATCGTTAATTGCTGTGTTGTTTCGGCGATGGGAGAGCAGCTCACGCACGATGTACCTATTCGTGCACTTTGCCGACGAGAGATATGCGATGAACGCCCCTCCAGGTCCTCTGTGTGAGCAGGGAGGCTGAAGAAAGGGTCGGTTCAAGGATGTTCCTGCTCGAAATGGGCATGTCTCGGTGATGGGGAGGAGGAAAATGGGAGCAAAGGCATGCAAATCAGCATCCGTCTAACCACATGGGAATTGCCCTGGCCTGATCTTGGTCTGACTTGCCCCCCCGATCTGAGCCCTGTAAGCTGTCCTCCCCTGGTCTTTCCCGTCTCTCACTCGCTCGGTCTCCGAACCTCGATACATACATTCCTTTAGAATGGTCACAGTCACCACCTACGTCTCAGCTATCTGTAAGGATAGCTTATTAAAGTTGCTTCCGCATTCTTGCTGCTCTGTTCCAAGAGTTGCTGATGGCAGTTGCTGATGCGGTTGCCGAGACAAGTTGGCCGGTTGCTGGTTGCAACGGGGCTCGGCTGTCCGTCGAAGCGAAATGTAGAATGCGATGCGAGGAAGGATCGTCTGCAGAGAGCCCATGCAAGGTACTTGACCAAAGCCATCCATATCTTTCGCGACTGCACCATAAGGCGGGGGGGCTACACGGCAAGGCACAAACCTTGGCCAGCCAGCGAGGGAGAAGGAGAGGAGGGAATCTCCAGGACAGTCCTCTCCCGTTCGCTCCTTTGGACAGGGAAGCAGGAACAGCTTGCAGAGCGCCATGCCGATCTGGGCTGTAGTCTCGCTGTAGTCTTACTGCAGGTGCATGGCGGACAACCTATGGGCTCTGGGCGGGCTGGCCATGATAGGATGAGCGACATCTGTCAAAAACGAGCCAACAAGTCTGCAAACTGCAGTAGAAACCGATATGACAGCTGCCAAATACCATTCAATATTCCCCATCCACACAGCGGCGAGTCTGAACCTTGTTGCTCGATGCAGTCATGACGAAACAATTTCGAATGCAGAAAAGTCTCTGCAGCCCTGTGAGCAAGACAATTTCCCCCTCCCTCTCTCTTTCACAGAGCCAATCTTTCTTCCAATGCAATGCACATCACGTCAGTCAACCACCAACCCATTCCCACGGATACCTCCCGCCCAGAGATAACCTAGCAACCAGCACTGGTCAAAGTCTCGGAACTCGTGTTTGGCAGGTCATCAGAAACTCCTGGTGCCCCGGCATGTAAGCGGCAAAACTGGTGAGTCAACGCGGCGCTGCGCTACCGGAAACTAGTACTCCAAGCTTCCATCAGCACCAGGCTACAGGATGTCATCTGTGCGCTGAACGAGAAAAAAAGGCGCTCCTCCAGAACTCGATCACGTTGCCGTATCACCAATTATCCGCCCATCGTCTCACCTACAAAACTTTGGCGAGCCATGGACCGTCACGATGATGATGCCCACACTAACCCCCGACCTGCGCCGTTCCCTCCGCGCTCCGGTTAGAGCCCCACTGTTTCGGGGCCGGACCTCAGCTCGCTTCAGTTACGCCTCGCCAGGGGCGGCGGGGCAGGGAGGTTTTTGGTTCTCTTTGCACGCCTGAAACCTCGCTGGGCAAAACCTCGAATCTTTCTCATCTTTCAAACTCCCCAGATCGATCGGTTGGATAGACAACGCGAGCAAGACCAGGCAGCTTTCCGTCCGATATCCGATGGAGCGATTGAGCTTCGGACCTACGAGCCTCTTTTAGACGTTCCCGCTCCTGCTTCCCCCCCGTCCGTCATCCAGAGTTTCAGACGGTTTGGAACTTGCAAGATGTAGTGCGCATCTGCCGAACGGACCCGGGTCAAGAAGACTGACGGGATGAGACACTTTCTTTTCGGTGGCTCAACCATCAGTATCCAGTAGCGATGTCGTCTCCATCTCAACCCACGAACTATTTGTTCGGTAGCTGAACTCTCTTACGTTTGGTTCATTTCTATGATGAGTTGATCGCTCTACTGCCAACTCAGTACTTGACACGAAGATGACCGCCGCCGTTGCGGAACATGTCTGCGTTGCTGGGCGGCTAGATCGTAGCCCCTTTGGAATCCCCGAACAGGATGGCAATCCGCAACAAACGTCACACACCCGACGCTTGAAGTCGGCAACCTCTCTTGTCCCCTCTGTTTCGGCCGCCCTCTCCCAGATGCCAAGTTCCAGACACGCAGCCCGGCGGTCCATATTCAGTTGACCTAGAAATGTGTCAACGTGTTTGAGAAAGCACGACGTAGAATTTGCACGAGATTGCTTGCTTCACAATCGTAACGGTCGCGGCTGCTGAGAACTGCAGCGTCTCAACGTCGCCGATGCCAAGACCACGTTGAGGAATCCCGCTACACGTTTCTTACCCAGTTTCACCTCGGTCGGCAAATCGTTCTACGCAACCGCGCAGTGTTGCCTCGTACCTTCTCCCCCGAGAGGCTCATCGATAGAGGGGTAGACGCAGGTACAGCCTGGCGATGACCCGGTGCGGCATAACGAAGCTATTCGCAATTGATTGCGACTTCGCAAGCAAGGTTCGCCTCGTTTGGCCCAAGTCAACGCGGGTTTCTGTACGAGCGACGAGGTCTGAATCGCTGATAACGTATTGTGTTTCCTCTTTCTCAGACTTTCCAGAATCGCCCCTGTCTCTGGCTGCCCAAGGCCATCACGAAGATGCCTCTCTTCTTGAGCTGAGGGGCAAACTTTCGAGTGATACTGCCGTAGTCTTACTTCCCACTGCGCTATGGCAACAAACTCCATCAGTGTTCTGATTCTGTAGTGTTTGAACGTGGCCGAAGTTGCCAATGTCTGGTTGAGCGAAAGCTTTGCCTGGGTCGTACTCAGCTGTTGTGCTTTCTGGACCCTCCGCGAAAGTCGGAATAGCTGTCATCTGCATCCTCGAATATCTACAAGTTCGTCCTCCTGGGCCCGGCGTTGCGCAGCGTCCTCTTGGCCGGACTCGACACTATTCCACGCTGAATAGATCTGGTCTGATAACTCGATCTGACAATTGACGTCAACTTGGCCCAGCCAGGCATTCGACCTTTGTGTCGATCCCAACAACGCAACCTGGAGACTTCTTCGAGACCACACAATTCTCGCACAGAATCCACTTCGATACCTTGTAACTGAACATGGCAGTGTGAGTGCCGGAGAAGCACATGCGGTCTGATGACTGACGCCAGCTCAGCCCAGCCAGGGGGTTAAATAGCAAGTAGACCTTCCCATCGGACAAACTGTCTACCGCGGCGATTTCATGTCTGACCAGATGTGTCTGCAGACCAACATGAGTGTCAGGAACGCCGCGATAACATCGATGAGGCCTACATCGGGTTGTCAGCGGTTATTCATCTTCTTTGAACGTGGGGAGTCTTGCGCGGATGGCGACTTCTGCACTCAGGCGTGGTAGGTCCCTCAATCCCTACAATAAATCATCAATTTGTAGACACTCAGAACGACCGACTGCTTCGGAAAAATGATCGTAGGTTTGGGTATCATGCCATCCTAGAACTCATAGCTGAGTTGTTTAACTGAGTCAAGATTGGGAAATCTTTCGAGCGAACAGTATAGAGCCCTACACAGCACTACATGGCAATAAGGCGCGTATGCGATACCGGGGCTTCATCAATCATAACGCGATGGAGAGTACCAAGGGAATAAACAAGAACGTAAGAAAAACGCGGCATCTTCTCAGCAAAGTTCAAAGAGCCCTCTTAGCGATGACTCAAATCAAGGTTCTGTCAGAGTTCAGGGGAGGACCGGCTTAGACCGTGACATGGGGAAATACCCGCAAGCAAACGATTGGATGAGATGACTTCCTGGCAGCAACTGCGACTGTGTTCCTGGATGCTACGGAGGAGGAAGTGGCTGGGGATTGAGGTGGTTGAGAGAAAGGTGTCGTGCTAATAGACGATTGGCTCGTGGTCTCTGCAAGCTGCAAGGGGTTGTAAGTGCTTGCAGTTGAACGTAATTGGTTGGGTCTGGCTTCTTTCGAGCCAACGCTGAACGTCTGGGTTCCCCTTCCCTCTATCAGGACTCTAGGAGTTGTAGAGTCCATCACCAGCTCCGAGGCAAGCCCCCCCCCCCCCTGCTTGATTCCTCGGCCATCGTGCGATGCGAGAGTTGCAGCGTCGCTAGAGACCTCGCAAGCTGGTGGCCAGAGAAGCTTCACTGGGTCTACCTAGGAACCAGTGGAGGGAACGGATGCAGGAAGCACGACATCGACGTCAAGGCCAAACCCGCCTCGTGAATCGTCAATGACCCCAGCATGTAGTTTGTCCCCCTTTTTTCCCCTTCTTCCCGGCAACATCCCACCATTTCTCTCCCTTCCCCTCCCGCAGACGACACTGCGTCCAGAAAAGAGAATCCGGATACGACCTCGGACTACGGTAGATACATACCTAGGTACCCTCACCGGGCCCGGGACTTTACCACAAACTTGGAACCTCGTCCGGCCGACGGCGGCCAACGGCTGAACCTACCGATACAACTCTCCACTTCGTCCCTAAACCCCCAGTACCTTGCGTCACTTTTTTCCCCCTTCTGCAGCTTTTGCCGTGTGTCCCATATGGTAAATATGGATACTCTCGTAGGGCAAGAAAAGAATAAGCACGATCGCCCGCCAATCACTCACCCCCGCCAGCGCCGGGACAATGGATGGGAAAAGCCTGTGCGCGGCGCGCGCTGCCCCTCCTCAGAGTCCTCCCCCCCTGGTCCAGCCCACAGGAGATATATATAATGGCGGGGTCTCCCGGTCGAGATGCATGAATTCCGGGAGATTACGCACATACGCATGCAGCCCTCTCAGGAACACTCTTCGACGTTCGCTGGCTCTTATTCCTCCTTTTTTTCGAGGGGGGGGCCCAGTGATGGGAGGGGTGTTCTTGAGTTTTTTTCTGCTCCTTTTCCCATCGCACTCGTCACGAACCAACAGAATTCCCTGGTTGATCTTCTGCCCTTTGCCTAAATGGATCTTCTTCCGGGATGTAGAGACTCTTTCTCTGGGATACTCCGCCGAACCGAAACAACCGCAAGTGGTCCAGAGAACGAGTGAAGACCCGAAGACATGTCAGGGACCCGGGGGAGGGGGATCACACTAGCCGTAGAAGAAAAGAAGGAAGTTCTTGCTAGAGGCCGAGATTCCTGGAAGATCCCTGAGGATACGGACTGTCAACCCCGGGCTCTCTCCGGGCGACAGAGTAGGAGAAGAAGGCAGGAAGAGGTTGTAAAAGTAAAAGGAAAAGCTGGAGCGGCCATTCTCCGATATCCGAAAGACCAAAGACCAATGGCCCCCGGTTGTCCGTCAAATCGGCCAGCCATGATTCACGGCGCCCATCCATTCAACATGCGTCGAGTCGTGTATCTATCACCTCGCCGCGCGGGTTTCCCGTCCAAACTATGCAATGTTTTTGTCACAGTAGCCGCCGTCACCTCGAGTGTGGTGCCAGAGCGTTTGTGTAAGAGACGAAACGTCGTTTCTGTTTCCCCTTCCAGCACTGTAAACGGCATAACAGAACATATCTCTCTCCCCCACGGCCATCACAAACACCCGTACCACAAGCCCAAAAACATCCATAGGCTGCTTGCTCTGTTGGTGTCTAACCCCCTGCCAGCTGAACCACCTTCCAATGTCCCAAGCCCATAGCAAAAAGGAAGGTCCAAAGCATCCACCCGTGGCCATACTCCATGCCCTCTGCTCTCCCTCCCGCGGCGGACAGGTAATCGAAGCGAAGTGCCCCTCCCGGCTTCCTCCTCCGAGGCGAAGGGCATCATCCACATCCACCTCCACCGGACACGCCGGGTTTCCGTTCTGGAGACTCCCCTTGTAGTTCAGCTTTGCGCCTAACACCACATCGTAGTATAGTCTGGTTCCGGTTCCTGGTCTGATCTTCTCCTTCCCCCTGCCCCCAACCCGGAAACCCCTGGCATCTTTCGTCCACTCTAGCGTGGTCCCTCGACGATGACAAGCACTTGCCGTATTTGCCCATGTAAGTGCGTGAGCGAGTACATGTGTGTGTATCCGTATGTGTGTGTGGTGTCCGCAGCCTACACATACCCGCTCTCCTCGCCCACATACCCAAACTCCCCTGCAATACCAACACCACCCCGGTAAACCCACGAGCATTAAGGCTTCTTCTCGTGATTCTCCCAAGCCCCCAGAAGTCTATGACTCCTCACTCCAGAATCCAGATAGTGAAGGGAAAAGGGGACCAAGTACTCCGTAGTGCAGGACTCAATAAAGAGCCAAGAAAACGTCGTCGTCCAACGGAATACAACCCATCGTCCGTCTCTCCCCCACCACACCAGTCTCGATCGGCAGTTGACCGCGTTCCTGGACCAGGCACGGGAGGAGAAGACGCACGCAGGGTACGGGATATGTAGGTACGGGAAGCATGCGCAGCATGTACAGATATCCACACGGAAGCACACACTCGCAAAACGCAGCACCAACCTGCCCCTCGGCTTGCCCAAACCCAAAGACCGCAGCACATTCACCCGCCTTTGGCTATGGTTCTGGCCCTGACCCAGGCCCATCTTCTGCAAAGTGCCAACCGTCCGGCTATGTGTGAATAAACGACCTGCCCCTCTAAGGAACCCCACCGATCTTCAACCCATCGGCATCGGGGGTCGGGGGCCGGGGTGGTCCCCTCACGACTTACACTGACCCCTGCCTCGTCCCCCTGGATCCCGCGCAGCGTCAAAGTCGAAGACGAGTCACCTCCCGCCGGCGGCCTGGTCCTCTCCTCCTCCCCCTCGTCTGCTGCTCTTCGTCCTTCCCCCTTTGGGCAATGCCACGTCCTCAAGTCCCCCCTTCCATCCCAGCTCTACAAGTCTACAAGTTTACACTACGCATGCCCAAGAAAACCCCCCCTGAACCCGTCCCGCGCGCCGTTTTTTCCACTCCCCTGACTGACTCCCCATGTCCCCTATCCTGTATTCCATGTGTTTCTAGGGCACATCTTTCTCAGTCTTCCCACGAGCCCCATCCATCCACCATCGCGATTCCAACGGTCGGGATATGGACTTGGAAGTGGTTGGTGCTAGCGAGCGTTGAGTTCTTGATTAAGAGGGGGGCGCAAGGCAAGGGGAAGCGGGGGGCCGAGGAGTCATGGCATGGCAGTTCGACACGAGAGACAGAGAGAGGCGTTCGGGTCCTACGTGACTACCGAGTCTTTTGACGGAACAGATCAGGAACCCCTCCTCCTCTGTTCCCTCCAACTGCCGGCGAAAGACCGTGAGACCGGCCGTCCATCTCTCCTATGGTTTTCTCCGTTCCTCTCGGGAGATGCAGTAGGGCCCGAAAGTCACACAACCATGTCATCCTCTCAAGATTCGTGATACGCAGTTTGAAGATTTCTGTGAATGCTGTATCACCAAGTTCACTAATAGTCAAAAACCTCATTCTGAAATGACCGTGTATTCCTCATTCTGCGCAGGTTAAACGAAAAATCTAACTAGTACTGGCTTTGCCCCCGAGGTTTTGTTTCCCAACGATAACAAACGAATTTTGTCCCATTTTTGGCCCCCCATCCCCCTTCCTCCAGAACAGTTCTCCAAGACCGTTGCCAGAAAATTGTCCTCCGCTTCCTTCCTATCCCGGCCATTTTCCCCGGTCCAAGTCATGGTTTTTCCCAGATCCCTATTCCACCTTTTCCTCCCCTTGATATCATTGGTATGTCCTCCTCAAAAAATTCAAAACTACGACTGCAGATCCAGTCGTTGGGGGTCTCACTATTTAGCTATCTACGATTAAGTTGGTGTGGAAGAGCATGTAGAAAAAAGGGAAAAGGAATGGTGGGGCGGTTCAGAAAAACTATAGAGATAAAAAAAAGAGTCAAAAAACAGAAAGGACTGAACAAGAATCAGAGAATCAAAAAGAAGAAACAAACAAACTGAACGGAACAAAACTTGCCCCTCCAAATTTCCCCTCCCATGTCTCTTCCGTTGGTTATTGATGAAGTGATGAAAGCTGGGCCATTGAGAAATCCTGCACTCTGGGGTCATGCTTTACACGTGGCTGGAAAGGCCAACGTGCGAAACCAGACAGTTGGTATCCTCCTCTTTCGGGGCATAAAACATGGGTGGTCGTGCTCAAATGAATTCAGAAACGTCGGTCAGGCAGCGGAACTCGAGGTAGAAAAGGAAAAGGAGATGAAAAAGATCAAATCGTGGATGGTTGTAGTGATGGATATTGTGATGGTGCTGAGGTAAAAGGTAGTAAGATTGTTTTGGAAAATCGTCATGACACATTGTCCCTTTTCTCTCTCTGTCATCCGGGGGAAGTAGTTTCGGAGTTTTTCTTTTGTTTTTTTCTTGACTCGTCCAAAAAGATTCCAACACCCTTTAGCACCCTCCCCAAATTTTTGTCCCATCCTCCAAAGGTATCCCGTGATGCCCAAGTCTATAAAAAGGTAGGTCAGGAAAAGGTTCGTTGTTTTTCGTGACGACGTTTCGGTAGTGTACCACAGGCACGCGCTGCGGCGGGGGTAAGTCTGCGTGACAAAGGAAAAGAGAAAACAGAAAAAAAAGTGGTATCAGTCGTGTTTGTGTGTTGTTTCTCTGCCATATCAAGATCAAGGAACCGCATCAAATCATGCCAGGCATGCCTTCCATAGGGTTGATGACATTCCTCTGCTGGACTTGGTTCTGTCCCATCTGCCCTTGGTTCATTTGAGGCATGGGCGGCGGCACCTGTTGAAGGTGTTGGTGTTGTTGAACCTGATGCTGGTGCTGGTGCTGCTGTTGCATCTGCGCTGGCGTAGGCGTGCTTGTGACGGATGCCGACGAAGTTTGAGGCGTGATTGGAGTCTGCTGCGGCATTGGAGGTGCTTGCTGCGGCTGTTGAGGCTCAACCTTTGGCTTGGCCATCTGAGATGCTGCAAGGTTGCGGTTGTGATTGCTCTCACGTCGACGCTTTGGCGCATCCTTGATCTTGGGGTGGGTGTGACACTACATGAATGTTAGCCTGCTGTGCAACGTTCCAAGACCCTTCACGGTCGATGCCGTGCCACATACCTTGTACGCGTGCCTGAACCATGTGGTACCCTTCTTCTTGCTGCTGACGAGCGCAATCCAATCGTTGCAGCTGCCGCACAAACCTTCCCAAACATCCGGGTTTCCGTCCATTCGTCGCGTTTCTTGAGGCTCTTGGAATGGGTTGCCCGTGGCGGCGCTGATGCCGTGGGTGAACGACTTGTCGTACCAGAAGGCCGAGTTCTTCAGTACAAGCCAGCGACCCGGCTTGCAGATTCCACACCATCCTTCACGCTTGTTACCGTGACCTCTCACCCATCTGGGTGTGTAAAGGTCACCCTCGAACCGCAACTCTTGCTCGTGGGGAACAAGATCGGGGTCAGACGGGTTCATGTCCTCGGGAGGCGGCGGGATCTGCTCCTCGTGGAGTGAAGCGTACAGGTCGGGCGGGTCGGACAGATCCGTGTAGTGGCTGTGAAGCGAGTGAGGATCGGCGTTGCTCTGGAGCATGCGGAAGAGGCCATGAGACAGAAGTGGCGGCGGGGCCTCGAAGTGGTGAGCGTCGGGATGGAAGCCATTGGAGGGCAATTGCGACGGCAAGAGCATACTGTTCATGCTGTTTCTCTGGTACTGCGGCGGGGCGGCCATCATGAAGGGATGCTGCTGGGCGGCTTGAAGATTGGTGAAGTTCAATGGGACCTGCTGGTGCTGGATCGTCGGCGATGAGTGTCTCGAAGACATGCGCTGGTGGGCACCAAATGCATCGTGCCCCTGATGAAACACGAACGGTGTCTGACGTCTGTTCTGCTGAGTTCCGTACGATCCCGTCGACCACCTCTTTGTCGTTCCACGCTCGACGCTGTAGGGAGCAGATCGCATGCCTGGGCGAGGCGAAGGGGAAGCACGACCGCGGCTTTGAGTCCTAACAAGTTCAGATCGGCTCTGGGGAGTCATCCGAGGAGACGCAACCGGCGACAATTGAGTCGACGACATCAATGAATTGCGGTTAGACGGCGGCGGGTAGTCTGAACTGAACGATGGCGCCTCTGACAGTGCAGCTGAGAAGTCTTCGTACGAAGGCATATCTGAGAGGGCACCGGACGTGGACATGGTGAAAGACGAGCCGGACATGCGTCGCGGGTTGGGGCCGCAGTCAAAGTTGAACGGTTCGTTGTCCTGTTGCTGGTACCTCAGATCAAGCACAGGAATGGCTTCATCGGTAGTGTATGCCTGGCCAATCATCTCTGTGTCCAATCCATGGAACTCAAAAGTGTCTTCGCATGGCTTTTGTTGCCAGTCTGATGGAAATGATTAGCAAAAGGGTTAACCTCTGATGAGGTTGACTCACTGTTCTCCATGGTGGTGACGGGATAGAAGTCTTGTTGATGAACTGATACCGGGCGGGACATGGCGTCGCTGGGAGTCTGCTGCATCGGCAGTGGCGAAGAATCCCACGATGGGAGGGTGCCGTAGTCATCGCCCATGCTGTAGGAGAAGCCTTCGTGGATGGTCGCAGGTCTGGGCCTCATGCCTTGAGACGTTGGGGTTGTCCATACACCGGCGGGTGCTCCCACGCCCTCTTGTTTGATGGGCATATCATTACCGTTCATGTTGATGATGGTCGTTGTACGAGGCGGGAGGTCTCTTCTGAACTTGTTGTTAGGGTTGAAGGTGAAGGAAGGTGTGTGTATTTGTTGCCGACTAAATTGTACTTGTAAGTCATGTATGCCGGAAGCTGCAGGGACGGGATGGGGCCTACAGCTGTGCCTGAGCAGAGTCCATGGTGCTTAGACAGGAACAAGGGAGCGTGCGGTTAATCAATTATCGGGTTGATGCTGAACGGGGACGGTGGGTTGTTAGCATTGATCCTCGGACGAGGGACATCAAGGGTGGCAGTTGTATCTGACGGCAGTCGGGGGGTGAGGGGGATCCACACTGCCCACGTATCGACGAGCGCGATCCGGCAGGCCGACAGAGAAGGGCTTCCAGGAACTTACTTGGAAGAATCTGGCGCAGTGGCCAACCTGAGCGGAGAGAGACAAATAATCTCCGGGCCGGACGAGTAATGGACGGCGACGTGAGTGGTTATGTTTGTTGGGGCCAGGGGACGCGTAGATTTTTCCTTTCCCTTCTTGGCTCCTTTCTCTTTCTGCTTTCTCTTGATCCCTTTCCGGTCTCTTCCCTCGAGGATGGGAGGGCGATGATGAGCGTTAAGGACAGCGGGTCCTCGCGATGAGGCTAGTGGGTGATGTATAGATGGAGGCGGTAGGGATTCCCGTCCTCAGCTAGACAGCGCGGTTGAGGATCTTTTGTAATAAGAGTCTTTGTGTTGGGTACTCTGTATTTATATTGTATGTATGTATGCGTACGATCCTCAAAGGCAGTAAAGGAGCGTGATGAGTTTGCAATAATCGGCAACCTCGTTTGGTGCTTTGATGGCTGAAGGTGTGTGTGTATGTGTGTGAGTGTTGGAGCGCGCAGCTGGCCGTCCTGGTTCCTGGCGGGATGAAGAGAGCCAGCTCCCGGAGAGTAGGTATTATAGATGCGAAGAGGCAGCCCCCTCGAAAAAGGAAAAAAAGTATTATAGGTTACAAGGCTTGAAAAAAGGAGTGACTAGCAGAGAATCAAGGGCAGTGAGGCCTTGGTAAGTGGGACGCGAAAGGAGAGCGAGAAAGAAGACAGGTCGAGGGGCGGTGCAGACGGATCCTGGAGGTATAAAAGAAGTAGTGTAGAAAAAGAAGCATCATCCATGAACGGACCAATAAGTCAGCACGGTCAGGTTCGGAACGTCGGTTGGAGCTAAGCCGGATTTCCCTGATACAAACCTCTTCCTGTCTGTGAACTTGGGGCCAGAAGGCAGGTGTGCGAGAATCTGCTTGGCCTGGCTCAGCAAGAGGACAAGAGTTGCAGGGGGGGTTCTTATGGTGGTGGACAAGGTAACATCTGTTCGTCGATGTGGATGTGTGGGAGTAAGATGCCGATGAACCAGGGAGCGGCCTACTCCCGACTGCTTTTGGAAGACGGGGACAAGGATCAAACACACCGACAGGGCTGTACCCAGATGATGGATGTACGCTCATAAACTATGTACATGGCACGAACTCGGGTCCGCGATGAGAGCGTGATGGGAAATATAGTTGAGGAAGAGGCAGAGAGAGGTCCGGATAGAGAGTTATGATGAAGGAAGCAGAGGGGAGGAGGGCTGATGGTGGTGTGGAGAGTCCGAGGGACTGAGAGTCGGAAGGGGGGTGGAGGACAAAAAAAAAAAAAAGACAGACAGACAGAAAGGCCGAGAGAAACCCAGACAAAAGAGAGAGAAAAAGAGAGATATGTAGAGTGGGAGTAAAAAGTGTAAGGAATAGCCCATGAACATGGCAAGACTAGCCAGTCAGGAAGAGAGAAGTGATGGGACGGAAAGAAAGAGGGTAGACGGTAGGAAAGACAATTGCCATAACGTATGGAGGAGGTTCACTTGCACCAAACCATGGGCCATGGGATACTTCCTTTCTCACTTACTCTCGAGTCTCGAGTCTGGCCTGGTTCTCCATCCACCCAATCCACCCAATCCACCCATTCACTTCCATACGGATACACCTGCAGGACCTTGTCAAGACCCCCTCCCCCTTCTAGACCTTTTAGCCCCCCCTCACCTCCCCGTCCCCTCGCCATATTGTGCAGCCCACGGCGGCGGTGCAGCTGTGGATTTGTAGCAGAGAAATTCGTCGTGACGAAATACAGGACCAAACTTGGACCAAAGGCCATCCACTAGATCGCCCTGTATCGACGATAACCGCACTTGACGTATGAGCTAGAAGGGCACTTTCGGTGGTCTCCGACTAGGGCCGTCGGTTATTCAGGGCTGAGAATTGGCGAGGACCCTAGCGATCCGAAGGAAATAGTTCCCGAGGAGGTGGCTTGTCTCATCCCATACACCCACATGTGGCGACATGGCCCCAGGGGCCGAGGGGCAGAGGGCAGAGCCTAGAAGAAGGGGAGCATCGGGGAGGAAGAAAGTGAGGCAGCGGAATGGATCACGGCTACTGCTAGTGGCTTGCAGCCGGCGGCCGGTACGTTGAACTTGCTGAATGTATGATTACTGAGAAGTGGGAGCGGAACCGAAACCACCTGGACTGGGCCTGATCTGGAGCGGGCCTCACCTCACTTCAGTCATCGTTGTTGGTTTCCCTCCTTGGAGGTTTCCAGTGACCATACCTAGGTGACACTGGACAGTAAGGTACTCTGTTGTCCACCCCCTGTCCGTAACTCTACCTACCCTTCTTCTCTCGTCTCTTTTGGCGGACAAGTTTTGCGTTGCGTTCCAACCTTTCGCAGCGGAAACCAAGGAAAAGGCAGGGTTCACGGACGAACCTCAGTCCAGTATCGGAATGATACGATACGACTTGGTCTGGAGTGTCAGTAGGCCGAGTACGGCACGTCTGCAAGGTAAATCCGCCGCGGTATGTACAAGGCCCAGTCCCTCATCCCGTCCCAGGCCAATGGGGCATGGGGGCCATGGGGAGGGGCCTCGGGCAGAGACTGCAGGGCGACTGGTGTGGAAACCTGAGATTTTACCCATGAGTACCTGGGGCCAATCAAGCTCGGGTATGAAGATCATGAACGAGAGTGTTTGGCAGGAGAAGCAAGAGAATCCTGACGTCGGGCTCTTGTTTTGGCAGCGAGTGCGGTGCAGGGATAACACCTGTTCCTGTTTTGTCAAATCCCTGGTTCCCCACATGATGAACCTGGTATCCTATCCTTTCCAGCAGATCCGCTCTCGGGCTTCTTTTTTCTTGTTCGGCCGTTGTGCCAATGGCGAGAACAGGAGCGGCAGGCATAAAGCAGCACAGATGTAGGTATGTGCTCCTGGGTCGATGCGTACAGAAATGTCAGTTTTCAGATAGGCTGATGGCTCGGCGACGGAGGCAGCGGCGGCTGCGGAGAAGGAAGAGATTGCCTTCAGTCGCAGCTTGATTTAGCTAGCTGAGCTTGAGCTAAGCTAGCTTGGCTAGCTGCAGCATGCAGAGCACACACGGCTGGAGATCGGAGAAAATGCGCCAAAGGTTGCGGCGAGTGGATGACGGTTTGTTCGTCTCTCCATATGTCGTCTGTCTGTCTGTCTGTCTGGACATCTGTCTGGCTGCGTTCCGGAAGGGCTGCAGGGGATTCAGGAGCGGAGGGTTGCCGAGAGGAGGGAGCCTCGGGACCATGTGGATGAGGGGGTCAGACGAAGAAGTTCCAGTCGCAGCTCCAGTTCCAGTTCCAGTTGCGGTTTCCAGGCCAGTCCATTCGTTGGTATCCTGAGGCGATCCATCGAAGAAATGGAATCTTTTGACTGTCTGCCTAGGATAGCGAGTGGGTTCAGATGTTTTGGACATGGTCGAGTGAGAGGAGTCAACCGCAGTTGCTGAGCAGCAGCAGTGACTGTGAGCACGAGCCGAACATGGAGAGTGTCCACGCGACAGGCATCGCGTCTCCAAACAGGACGACACGATGCCGCACAGAAACCTTCTTGTGCCTAGGATGCAAAGGAGAGAGAGAGAGAGAGAGAGAGAGAGAAACCAGACCACGCGGACAGTACCAGACCAAAGACGCATTTCGAAAAGGGGGGGAACGAGGTCATAGGTAGGCGTGCCCGTAAACAACAATTAAGGAGGGTATATGAGTGCGCCATGATGGAGCTGGGACGTCGTCAACATCGTTGACATTGTTGGTCGGCAGACATCGTGGTGGTGGTGGTGGTGGTGTTGGTAGTGGTGGTAATGATGGTGAGGGCGAGGGTGGTGGTGCTGTTGCTGCCGTTGCTGGTGGTGGCACGGAGCAAGCACGTTTGAAGTTGACTTTGAGCTGCCCGGCGGCGCAATATGATTTGTCGCTGAGGTAAGCATCTGCAGGGGGTGGTCGAGGGGGGTGTGGGAGGGGTGCTGCACTGCTGCAGCCTGCGGGTGTGTGGGTTGGTTGGTCTTGGCCTTGGTTTCTTCCTGTCCCGTTGTTCCGTTCCTGACGACAGTACGTACCCGTTGGGCTCGTCCCCTCTCTCTGTCTCTCTGCTCCTGTGCCGCGTGCCTCGTCAGACTCGATGATGGATGCACCAGTGTGTAGATGATTGTGTGTGTAGTGTCGTGCTGTAGTGTATGGTGCGGCGTGCCTTGCAGACTGCAGTGTTGGCACGTTGACCTGCGAATATCCGTGAGGTACCTTACTCTGCCCGTACTGAAGTTGGTCGTCCATGCCTATTGCTCCAACCATCCATACTTTTCTTGAGTCTGAAAGTTACGAACGGATGGATGATGCGGATTATCATGATGGAAGTTCATCATTCTCTCATGCGATCCATCTCTGAAATCGACGGGCCAAACTTTGCGTCCTATTCGGTGCCGAACACTCTCAACGTTCTCCGGTCTCGATCCCGTCTTGTCCTCCGATATGCTCCCAATGGGCCCTTTAGGCCGCTTTCACATCTTCAGACTTTTGGCCAGTTGTTGCCATGTCTTTGATCTCGTCCGACTCTCGCCTCGTTCTCATCCTGTAGCGTAGCGTAGCGTCCTGTCCTCTCCATTCCGCGGGCCATTGGCCATGTCTAGGCGTTGACAGAGACACATCGCAGTGGAATGAGAACCACGGTACTCCGTACGCCATACACCCGGAAAACTTGTTCGGCTTCTGATAGTGGGACACTACTATCTTGTACAGCGTGTCGAAATCCCACCCACTCGCCGCTGACTCGTGGTCGTGACTCGCTGAATTTGGGTCCAGGCTACTGCAAGTCCACCGGGGACGCGGGGGCTGTGCCAGGGGTTGAGCAGGGGCAGAAGCTGTCTCAGATCTGTCGCAGAACGACACACCCTTGTCTCGCTTCAGCCCCTCGACTGGGTTGACCGTTGACCGCAGTCCCTCTCTCTCTCTCTCGAGTCTGTCACTGTCGCCCTCATCCCCGCCGGGACGGCCTGCCTCTCGCATCTTTTGCTTTCTCCGCGCCTTTTCTTTGTCGATGGCCTGCCAGGCCTTCTCTCGACAATCTTGCCAGCTGCCAAAGCCAGTCCATCGTCTTACCGTGAGGAACACAAACAAACGACGATGTGCCGTCTCGCCTCGTGCAGTGTCCCGATGAGAGGGTTGCCAGTTTGGAGGCGCTCGAGAATGATGCTATGCATCTTCGTGCAGCAATATCTTCCGCATCACCAGATAACTGTTCCTCCCACATAGATCCGTAGTACCTTGAACTTTAGTGATCCGTCGCTTGTCACCCCGTCTAAGATCGATCTGCCTAGCATCTGGATGCCCGCCTCGTCCCATTTACTTCCATACATGGCATGGCCAGCTGGCCCTGCGTCTGCCACGCCACGCCTACAGCAGCAGCTGCTGTCAACTGCTCTCCGGCTTCATTCTAACCCCGTTCGCTTTCGTTTGCATCTATACTTCATATGCGAAGGCCGTCAATCAGCTGTGACAAGCCCTGCTTGGTCCCAAAATCAGACATGTGCGGCGCTGTCCGTGAGGTTCATCCCCATCTACTGTTGTTTCTTGAGAACTGTCTTCTTTGAGACTCTGCCAATACTTTAGCTTTGACGGAAATCAAATCAAGATGGACTCGAATTCAAATACGCCGCACAGATGATGGCGTTTGGGCTCTTGTATGAGACGTGAGACTTGTTCAGAACTGGTCATTTCAGGACGAAACCCAGTGTGAGCTCGGCTCTAGTCGACTTGCTTCGACGTGACTTTCTGTTCCGTCTGTCGTGACTTGTCCGCTTACTCAACCAATCCATCTGGCTGCCGCAACTTAAATCTTTCTTTCCCCTTTGGCGTGTTTGCCTGCTGTATGCCATAGAGACAACTTCGGTTTGGCTGTTGCGCCAAGAGGGTTCACCAGGGCTGGCGATCCAACACGTCTGACTACGCGACTGGTTGTTCCTCCTCTTTCCCCTCACATTAAACCCGGGTTGTCATTCATTGACGCGCCTGTTTGTGAGCCGCGGCCACCTCGCCGCCCGCAGCCTGTGATTCGCTCCATCGTCTGCTCTAGTGTGCACACAAAGTTGCCCCTCTAGGCACCTATACTACCACGAGGAGCTGATGTGGATCATGGCCAAAAAGACTCAGGTTTGACAGACATGGGTCAGGCTGAAAGCCGGCTGAAGACCAGTGTAAACGGGAAAAGGAACTTCTTACTCCTGTGACCAAGAATCAGTGAAGAAAAGACCAATCATTCAGCAACTTACAGGCGGCTTGGCGGCAATAACGCGTCACATTAATGCCTCTGGCCTTTGCTGCTCTATTCGTGTTGTTGGTGGATAGTCGTTCATCCATATAATGGTCACCCGCTATAGCTCCAAAAACCATGGATGTCCTTGATAGAACCCATAATGCCCTCGCCTAAGACGGTCGCCAGCTCCCGCCATCGCTATCCAGATTGCGGGCGCGACTTGACGCCCGGGGACCGCCATCCGGCACGGCTTGTACACGCGTAAAGTGGCTCCCGCCTTCCATCATTCGTCGCTAGGAAGAAGGCCGTGTGCTGTTAAAGCTTGTTGAGCGAATCCGTTGGCGACAGTCTGCCCGCCGTAAATATTGACGTGGCGCTAACGACGCACATCGCTTGTCCGTCAAAAACTCTGTCGTAGGGCTCTGTGTGTTGTACAGCGTTAGTGAAACTTAGCGTTGTCTTCCTCAGTCGGGCAACGGTCGCGGGTATCCATCTCGACCGTCGTACGCCGTAGAGCATCTCGACAAATGACACTCCCGTTAGATCAGACGTGCGAATCTGAGAGCAATCACATACGAGGCCGTCTTTGATAATTTTGTCTGTGCGAAGATGCAACGTCTCGCGCCGGTGGCCTCCAAGAACCCCCAGTATCCGCCGTCAGCTTCTACCGAGCCTTCGATGAGTTGTTCTGTGGATCCTCCGGGCTGGCCGCCGACAAGGAGTGGCTGTCTAGCTTGCATAACAACCTCGGACGTTTTGGGAAATTACGCCAACTCTCCAGCCGTGGCCGCTGTCTATAGCTCGGCTCTTATGGAGATCATAGACCAATGATGACGCGACTTTACCCCGCCATCGGTTGCTTGTCGACTGGACACGATACTGGGTACCAGACATCAGGCGGATCATTGGGGGAGGCTGACAAGATCACATCTGCAGCCGCAAGGGGAAAAGGGGCGGCGAACAGGGTAGCGATGAACTCTTTCTAGTACGCTATGTTAGTCGGCGTTTTATCAGTCTTATCGATGTGTTTGATGTTTACCATAGCCAAAATGATTCCAGCTCTCTGACGGGACGGCTAGGAAATGACGGGCTGCACAAGGTAGGAGTTCCGGCCGACGTTAGTGTAAGTTTAGCACCAACCATGGCAACGACGGAAATAGAAGGTTGGAAGTGACATAGACCGTGTTGGCCTTCGATCTTGGGCGCGCTGCTGCCATATTGTGACCCGGGCAAGTCTCGGTTTCTCAAAAAGAAAGCAACTGCAACGAAGGCAGAACCGCGAGAAGTGATCAGAGAGACAAAGGTAGAATCGCGAAGCCGAAAAAGCCTGCGCTAGTTAGTCGACTGGTGCGAGGTGTTAGAATGGATCAACCTGGGAAATAGGTGAGTAAGGGTGAGGGGCCTAAAGAGCTAGGCGCCTAATGCCTACGGTTGGAGACTGACAACATATCGCCAGCTGTACCCGGCCAAGATGGAGCAGAACAGCCGATGACAAGGCTTCGAATCGATCCTCATTGAGTTCACAAAGGTGTCCATTCAAAGCTAGAGCTCAAAGTGATGGGCTTGGTATTTAGTAGTGTGAAGTTGATTGATACGGTGACACGGAAAAGTCGTGCCTGACTGTGCTAGTCTTTGTTGATTCTTCGCCAGACTTCTTGCTCAGCCGCAGCCAAACTGCCACCAGCAGCTTGCGCCCATTTCTTCGCAGTGTCCCATACTCCTTCTTCCGGCTGACTTTGATAGCCTTTCTCTGCCGATGATGCTACCGCAGCTTGGTGAGCAGCTCTTTGATGGCTACTGAATTCAGACGCACTAACGTCTTGCTGATATCCTGGAGGGTGTTCAAGGCTGAGTGGAGGATCGCCTCCTAGTGGGACAGGTCGCGGCCCAGTCATCTGAGGTCCATTAGTAGTAGGCGTGGAAGATCCTCGCAACGCCGCGTGTGACATGGTTGGAGGAGGGATACCCATTTGTGGAGGGTAAGAAACGGTGGCCGTAGTGGCGGGCGTTGGGGCTGGAGGCTGGTAGGTCTGGCCTGCCTTCGGCGGAGGAGGCAGAGTCGACGTGCCCGCTACCGGCACGGGGGCAGCGCCTGGCTGGGGCGGCGGAGGACTGACATCATTCGTCTTCTGAGTGGGAGTTGGGCGCGGAACAGGATATGCTTGTGCGGAAGCTGTCTGGACAGGGAGAGACGGGGCGGCACCAGGCTGTGCCGGCGGGTATGGCTGCTGGCGGGTCGATGATGGTGCGGGTGCGCCGACTTGGCTTTGCGATAATTCGGCGTTATTGGAATGGTCCTTGGCTTGTGGTTCCTCGGTTTGCGGAGTGGCTCCCGATGCCTTGGAGGCGTTGATCGGAGTGTCCTTGAAGATGGGAATGGCAGGCATAGTTGATGATGATGCTCTTGGCCAAGGTATGAGAGGGGGGACTAAGCTGTGGGGTTTGGGCGCCTGCGAACAGTGGAAATGTCAAGGCTGTTGGAGGGTTTTAGTTGAAATGGGCGAGATCGCGAGCGTTCTCAGTGAGATGTGTCTGAAGTCGGCTCGGAGTCATGAAGCAAACGTGGCACAATGTGTGGTTTCCCATCTGGCAGGCGAAACCTTACGTGACGACGTCATTGCTTGATGGTTGGGGCGATGTCAGGTGACTCAAGGTGAGGTGCCTACCACTTTGGTAGTCAAATGCCTGGACCTGGAAGGTGAGCACTTAAGTAAGGTACCAACGGCTCAAGGTACCTTGAACTCATGGCTGCCTTGAAAAGAAGAAGGGCGCATCGCCTTGAGAGGAGACATAGTCATCATCGTACCTAGGAGAACAAAGAGAATAGTGAACAATAGCCCACTAGGCGCCTTACACTAAAGTCGATAGAGGAAACTGCTGAAGGTCGCAGACCTTGACGCAGCATTGCTTACCAAAATTTATATCCTGGCAAAGAAATGCAATTGCAACGCGGAAACCTCCAATGGTAAGTTGAAAGGCTCCCGCCAAGGCTTCCAGGAGATGCTGGTATCGAGTTGTGTTGTTTGAAATCTTGATTCGGCGGAAGTCGTGTCAAGTTCATCCACTCAGTGATCGCTCATGCAAAACAAGCAATAGCTGAGCTGCAAAGCATCAAGCTACTTAACATCCAAGGCCGAGTCCGAGCAACCCAGCTCATGACCAATGGTTTGCTGCTTCTGGAGCCGCAAAATGGTCTGCCACTGCGTGGTGCTTGGACCGCCCTGAGTCGCGACTCTAAGCTTCTTTGGACGAGAGAACGGAATCGTATCGTTGATGACCTGACTTGACCTTAACTGTGCCCAACTGTGCACTCAATGCAACGATCCCACAAGGATCGCCTGGTGGACGTCGTGCCAATGTGGTCAACAGAGCAGCTTCCTCCAGACACACTTTTTGCCGCGCCAAGAAAAGTGTTTATGTCGTAGAATAGAGTCGAGACATGACATGCGACGTGTCGACGGTGTTCTTTTGGGCATACACCGCGCGGAGAAGGCAGGACCTGGCGATGTTGGGAATGTTACATAATAGGATGCGCTCGGATTATTATACTCCCGTCTCTACGTGCTGAGCCACGGATCTCCAAGTTCCTCCACTAGAGATAATGACACCAGCCACACCTTCCTGCACGGGCCAGCAGGCTGCCAGACGTGATGGTTGGCTGCATGTAGGAGGCTGAGAGCTATCCGAACCTTGAGGCTGGTGATTCTCACTGCCTTTCCGATTGGAAACCCATAACACCAACACCAGCTCGCTCTCTGGCTCCAATCCCGAGCAGTAAGCCGACAGTATGGTAGGCAAAGTCAGCGAGAGGGTTCTCCTTCGGGAGGGTAAGTTAAACTGGAGTCCTTCACCTTGTAGAGCGGCAAGCTAACCGTGGACCATAGGCCTGGAGAGAACCGACAATGGAATGAAGCAGACCAGCTGGCCAGACGTCACACCGATCAATCAGAAGAACTACTACACGTACGTTTTCTACAATAGACTATCTCGCGTTATCTCCATTGCGGCGATGCTGACAATTCCTCGTCCAACAGGGATTATATGAAGCGCGATGATCAGATTCTCGCTTTGCGACTTCAAGGCGACGCCACCCGCGACAGGATCGTTCAAGCTGCTAAGGACAGAGATCGTGCTCTTGCGCAAAGCGGGCGCGCCGAGGTTCCTCTCGTTATACCCGAACTTCAACCTGACGAAGCACCTACCGATGCCAATGCCGGCCTCGATCCATCCAAAGTTATCGTCATTCACCCTGGTAGTCAAAACCTCCGAATTGGGTTCGCCAGCGACGCCCTTCCAAAGTCCATCCCCATGACACTTGCGACAAAGTTCCCTCAGACCGAGGCGGAAATGCATGAAGCGCTCCCCCGGCGCCAATTCGAAGCAAAGACACAAGACCAACAATACGGCGAGGAGTGGTCAAAGAAGTACACCAAAATGTGCAGCGATCTCAAGCTGGAGATGCGCGCAAACAAGCGCAAAGTTCTGCCCAACTCCAAGGAACTTGTCTTGAACTATAACCGCCGGACTGAGCCCGAAATTATTCAAACACATAACGACCCTCTACAAATCGACTGGACGGATGTCAACAATCTCGACGACCCCAAATCATCTGCGTCTTGTTTCATCGGGCATCAAGCGCAAAGAGTGCCAGACGATTCTCAACCTAAATTCAAGCTCTGGTGGCCCATTCAGCATGGACACATGAACGAGGATGAGTACCTGAACGCTGAACACATGTTTGACGATCTCGAGACCCTCCTCGACAAGGCAATTAGACAGGAGCTTGGCCTGACTAAGAACAGCGCCTGGAGACAGTACAGCTGCGTCTTCGTCATCCCAGACCTCTACGACAAGAAGTATGTGGAGCAGGTGCTTCGATCTTGCATGACATGGTTTGAGTTCAACCGGGTATGTTTCATTCAGGAAGGCATGGCTGCTACGTTCGGTGCAGGCTACACTCAGGCCTGCGTCGTCGATGTGGGAGCGCAAAAGACATCAATCACCTGCGTTGAAGATGGCCTTTGTGTCGAAGACTCTCGCATCAACTTGAAGTACGGCGGTTACGATGTGACGGAGACTTTTGTCAAGATGCTACTCTACGACAACTTCCCCTATCAAGACATCAATCTTAGGAGGCGACATGACTTCCTCCTGGCTGAGGAGCTCAAGATGAAGCATTGCACGATGGCTCAAGCGGACATTTCCGTCCAGTTATATCAGTTCCACCTGCGAGCTCCAAACCAACCGACGCACAAGTACCAATTCAAGACGTACGATGAGGTCATTCTGGCTCCCATGGGCTTCTATGATCCGGCCATCTTTGACAACAGCACCAAGATAAGAGGCCGGAGGAAGTTGCTTGACCGATCATACAATGCATACGACGTGGATATCCCCGACGATCCGACATCAGCAGCCCAGTTTGGAATCTTGGCTCTCGTCAAGCCATCATTAAATTCTGCACCTACCAATGGCTTTACCCAATCGCAGAACGATGTATCGACGCCGGTCAAAGAAAGACCACAGCCGTTTGACTTCTTGAAGCGGGGCGAGAACGGCATCAACGGCACTCCATCTGGGTCCAATGCCCCATCGCCAGCGCCGGAGGGTGTCAGCACGCCTTTGCCAGCTCCTTTCGTGTTCGGCGGAAGCAAGGAGGGCGTCAACGGAGGAAGCCCCGCTCCCCCCGTGAGGAATGGCGGTACGCCGGGCCCGAACGGCACGGCTGTTCTACAGCCGCCCCCGGGTATGTTCGTTGACGCCTCTGCGCGTAGCGCCAAGGCCATAGCAATTGAACGCGACGGCGTTCTGCCCACTGCACCGTTAGATCTTGCTATTCTGACCAGCATTTACAACGCAGCCAAGGGTGACGACAAGAAGCTGCGTGATTACCTGGGCAGTATCATGGTCATTGGAGGTGGTTCGAAGACGCCCCAATTCACAGTCGTGCTAGAGGAGAAGCTCAAGGCACGGCGACCTGATCTCTTCGATCGCATTTTGGTCAGTCGAAGTGCCAGGGATATGGACGAGCAGGTTGTGACCTGGAAGGGAGCTAGCGTTTTTGCCAAACTCCCGGCCAATGACTCTTGGGTCACGCCGTTCGAGTTCGAACGACTGGGGGCTCGTGTGCTGCACCACAAGGTGCTCTGGTCATGGTAAATTGAAAGGACAACGGCAAAACATCTTAACGGAGGATGCGATCACGAGAAAGCAACGGAGTCAGGGATGAACAATGGCACTCGGGAAATGGCATTTATGGAGGCAAAAGTCGTAAGGAGCGTCTAGCAGCCAGTGGCGTTCGGTGTCAAAACGAAAGACTACTTTCCGGAGTTAAACTTTTTTGAGGTATTGTGAGAAAATGTATCGAAGCATCCGTAAATTCGAGGCGATTGCCAACCACTCTCAAATTCTGGGGCTCAGGGAGCTTCGTAAACCTAAACGTAACATTCACTTAGTGCCCGGAATTGTCAACGTCGGCGGCCACGGGGTCCGCGCTGTAGCAGGTGTCCGGACGGGTGTGTATCGGTCATAGTGAGGCGGTCACTGTGAGGTCGTCGTTCTGGACTGTCATTAAGGGGCTTATGTAATGCGGCTCGACCGGAGTTTAGAGTAGGGAGCTCAGGTCAATTCAGGTGTATGATGCTCACCCGACGTCCCGCACCGGCACTCACTACCGCAGGCGCGCAGCTCCCCACCCACTTCTTACCTTGATTCACGTTTCTCCCTTGTGATCAACAACAACAAACAAAACCGCCCGACGTTCCTAGCATCTCCTCCGCCCGCCGCGAGATGTAAGCTTGGAGCTGAACGGTGGTCTGCGGCAAATAACGAGAATCAACTCAGTTGCTCGACGAAATACCACGGCGCTTGACTTTTCCATCATGGCGATTCTCTCCCGATATCTGCCCTTCTCCGAGGCAACTACTACGCTGCAAGCAGTGACATACCTCCTCGGCATATCTCTCTTTTCTATTTCCTTCCTCGTCTTCCTCAACAGCAGCATATCCTTCGTCATTACCGACCTAATTGGCGTCAAGGATGGCGTTGGCGACATTGTCGGCACTCTCGGCTTCGTAGACGAGCTCGTTGCCCTCGTCGCATGTCCGGTCTGGGGTCTCGTCTCGGACCGGCTCGGTGTGAGATGGGTGGCTGTCATCGGGTATGCCGTCATCGGCGCAGCATTGCTTCTTTTCGTTCAGGCGAAGAATGTCTACCCGCAGCTACTCCTGGCGCGCATCTTCTTTGCCATTGGCGCCACAGCGTCGTAAGTGACAAACAGAAAGCCAGAGCAGGCAACATGTGCTAATATTCTTCCCTCAGCGCCACCATGGTAACGGCCATTCTGCCTTCATTGACGGACGATGGTGACAATTCGGACAGCTCCGCTGACGCTGCGAATAAACCGACGCATAATCCTCGCAACAGTGTGGCCATGTCCCTCGAGTCCGACATGACTATTACCCCGGCGCGCTTCCATGGTTTCGGCGGAGACGGACAAACCGCGACAGCGAGTGAGAGAGAGGAGGCAAAGGCTGGGAGGCCTTCGTCATTGGCGGGCTACGTTGGGCTATTTACAGGATGCGGCGCGCTGGTTGCGCTTTCCCTGTTCCTCCCGCTTCCCGCCCGGTTTGGGGAGATTGATGGCATCACGCCTGCAACAGCTGTCGCCGACAGCTTCTATGTGGTGGGCATCGTGGCTTTTGTGATCTCGGTATTTGTCTTCTTTGGGTTGAGAAACCTCAAGGGCGAGGAAGGCAAGGGCTGGAGTACTCTATTGGGCCTGAAGACGAACTCGGACTCAGAAGACGAGTCTGACGAGAACAGGGCAGACCACCCAACCCGGCCGGTAGGTTGCCTTGTGAAAGTTTCTGGAGAAATTGCTGACGTTTTACAGAAGGTGCTTCCATACTTCCGCCTCCTGCGCGACTCCGTAACTCTCGGTTTCACGGATTCTCAGATCGCTCTGGGATACCTGGGCGGCTTTGTGGCTCGCGCATCCACTGTTGCCATTTCGCTCTTCATCCCCCTCTACATCAACACCTACTATATCAGCAACGGCTTCTGCCAGGGCTCCCCGCATGACCCCTCGCCAGAGCTGAAGAAGGAGTGCCGGGCCGCCTATCTCCTTTCGTCAATACTGACTGGCGTGGCTCAGCTGTTTGGTCTCTTTGCTGCGCCTGCGTTCGGATACTTCAACAGAAGACGCGGTCGTGTCAACTACCCCATTCTCCTGGCCACGGCCTTCGGTATCGTTGGCTACATTATTCTGCCACAGTTGCAGAGCCCGGAATACAAGAACGTCGACGGCCGAGGCGGCAGCCCCGCCATTTTCCTAATCGTGATCTTAATCGGCATCAGCCAGATTGGTGCCATTGTCTGCAGTCTCGGCTTCCTTGGCCGTGGCGTTCTGACTGCAGATATCCCCAAGTCTCAGGTCATCGACACGGTCGAAGACTCGGCAGAAACCTTGGAGACTTCCCCAGAGTCTGCGCCTCTACTACAACACAATGCTAGCGTGGATGCTGTGTCGCGAGTGCGACTCAAGGGCTCCATCGCCGGCATGTACTCCTGGTTCGGAGGAGCAGCTATTTTGCTTCTTACCAAGCTAGGAGGCTACTTATTCGACGCGGTGTCCAACGGCGCTCCGTTTTACATGATGGCTTCCTTTAATGCCATCCTCTTCTTTGCCAGTCTGGGCATTGATGCTGCTCGTTTTTACAGGGAGAAGCAGTGATGGTATGCCTTACGAAATACACGTATTATTACCTTGATGTATCATTATCATGTCTGTGAACTGTCTATTTATCTAAGAAACATACCTTTGCTGTGCTGGTGTCTCCCATGATCCCAGCTATGTATCTAATCCTGATTTCGTGCAGATTGCCAATGTTACCTTGCGTTTGTATGACTCCTGATGTTCTACCGTGCAGTACGACTGTCCGAATCAAAAACTCCTGATCGGACTAATTCGCATTCGTCTCCAGTCGATGTCCCCTCTACGATAGCTTCAAGACCAGTGGGTACGCCGACCTCATCTTTGGCATGCTGCCGCTCCTCCTCTTCGGCGGCCTTGATAGCCTGCCAATCGATCATCCGGATCCAGGGGCGAGAACGGCGTTTGCCCCGCTGGAGTCTGTTCCAACCCTCCTCTTCCTTCTTGCGGCGCTCCGATTCCGTGAGCTTCGGGGGCTTCGGCGCGACCATGCTGACAACGCAGAAGCAACAGAAACTGTAGATCAGTCTCTTTACGAGCGAGGGGGGAGGGAACCGGGTGTTGTAGCTCTCCCCGGAGCCGCTGCTCCAGAACCACTCGTCCACGCCGGCGGGTTTCTCGCGGCGGTACTCGTGATCTCCCGGAATCGACGGCCTGTATACGAAGTCGGCTGGGGTTTCGTTCATGGGACCTATGTTGTCAGTTGGTCGTTGGCGGGCAATAGCATCAGAACCGGATGACGACAATGATGACTCTGGCTCTGGGTTCCAGTCTGGCTCGGCGAGTGTCACTGTTGCGCGGCCCTCGTCGCCGCACTCGGAGCAGACGGAATGTGACGGGGGTGGCGTGCGGCGTTTGAGCTTGTTAGTCGCGCGGCGGAGGCGGTGGGTGATGGCGGCGGACTTGCCGAGCTTTTTGCCTGCGTCATGGCGGGCTGGGATGCAGAGTGAGCATCGCTTGCTGACGGTCCAGGGACCTTTGGAATCGTCGCAGTTGTGGATGTAGGGAGGCGTGTTCATTTCGAAGGGGTTTGATACCGTGATATCAGCGAGGTCTGTATAAGTGAGTGTATCCGTCAGAGGTCAGTGAGCGAGTATATCTTAGGGATGGTAGACAAGTCCAGTCGTTTTCACAGTATATCGGATGGGGGTTCTCAAGTATTTTTTTTATATATTCATCAATGCTCGCATGGGCCAGGAAGTGTCTTCTACAACATGCCCATCAAAGACGTTGAGGACAAATGCATTCTTGAATGTTCGGTGACACAGTCATCGTATTACATGCCCTTCTGTGTTGAACAGGAACGTCGGTAGGTCAAGTCCTTTGTCTGAGGAAATAAAAGATGCTTTGTGGGTTCTCTATGACATTTGCGAGGGACTGTGGTTTAAGATCTCGATGTTCTTTCTCGGGATTGTGTGGTGGATGGCACGTCTCTTTATCGCATCAGTACCATTTATCAGCTTGTATTAGGGCTCTATTCTGTTACAAGGTCTTCGCCACGTCGCGTTGTAGATCGCGTACTTGGTAGCATATTCCTTTCTCTCATACTCTACATTTGAGGATTACAGAACAGAGATGATGGAAGTTTGAAGAATGGGCTAATTCGGATACGCTGTAGTATTGCGTGTCTCTTCTGCAACCTTCAAGGAAATCATAGCTGAGATTTGCATTTTCCAGCCAATGCGTGTCGTTGCTACTAATCTTGTGGTCGAAATTGGGTCAGGAGGATCACATCAATACTTTGTGTTATCAAGTTCCGAACTCAACGCCTTCAGTAGTCTCTGGACTTGGTGCTCATAGATCTAGCTGTAGGCGGCCCCAAACGGGGCTTCAAATGTGTATTGAATACCCATGCTTTCTCGGGGATGACTGCACGGCACTTGAGACCATGAGCACAGGCTACCTACAGAACATGGCCTTTCCTGCTCGTCTCTTTACGCTTTGCTTCGCGCCCTGGTGAATACAAGCAAATACTTCCCTCTGCCCAGGGTCTCAGTGCAAGTTCAGGAACGGGTTTGCCACAATTGTCAGGAGCACCAGTATTCCCCCTTCGCCGGTAGAGGCAACACCGCACCACGACAGCGATTCCTTACTCAACCAAAGATTCTGCCACCAAGCCTGCCCGGGACTGCTAGTATCAGGAGCCTCAGATATCCGTATCCAGCACGATGGATGTTCAAGACGCGGAAGTGTATATCCGGCATTGGTTCGAACTCTAAAGATTCCAAACTTCCGAATTGGTCGTCTTCAAAATGCAGGCTGCGGCTCTACTTCTTTGGTATACAGCGTGATTCCTGGGTTGTCCATTCTGTGGCGTTGTCACCCGCACCACTAATGAATGGTAGCATGTCGCCCTGGATCATCTTTTCGTCAGGTCTGAGTTGTCATTTTTGTGGCTTCATTTCCCGCACCACTAGGTAAAAAAGAATAGCGTGTCGCTCTGGGTTATCTTTTCCCCAAGGTCGCAGCGTATTCACTGCAGAACACACAGCCGCAAAGCAGTGAGAAGGTGGAGGGCTATATGTACGGGCTGATGCTGGCTTGTTTCTTAGATTTGGGGATAGTTCCACGATGGCTAGCTACTCGTGGTGCCGGATGTGAATCCCAAATTTTACATCTGGCTCCAAGATATCAAAGAGCTTCACGATGGTGTCCGACAATCCCAATAGTCTGGGGAGACGACTTTCCGCCACTTCACGCAAGCGACATAAATAAGCACATTACTTTACATCACCTCCAGCCCCATCTGATAGTTGAACATGAGGTAGGTGCTCATGGCCCTCTCCGCGCCAGTTCTAGAAACAGCTCAAACGTCGTCGATATCCCAACAGCCTAACTCGCTATATGCACAAGAGACCTCGCAGGACCCAATATCGTAGACCACCAACTCCTTTATCTAGTTGGCGCACTTCAAGCTTTCCCGCGCTGTTGAATGATAGCAAACACTTTCCTCATGATCCGCCTACAACTCACAACATGATCTCCTGAAGTGAGTGCACATGGCAGCCAAACAAGCACCCCCGCTGCCGTTGCTGATATCAGAATCCATCAACCAGTCTCTGGTACAAAGACAAGCGAGCTCTTCTGTTCACAAGTTGGTATGCCGAGTCCAAGCTCTTCCCAAAAGATGACTATCAGTAAAGATGAGTTGCCTCACGGATTGTCAAGTAATGGATCGAGAACTAGGCAGCTAGGCTTCCTTTAAGCGAATCCCATGCTGAACCGTCAGCGTCGAGGAGGAGATACCGGGGTGATAGTCCATGGATGAAGCTGTCCAACATGATGACCATCAATACAACCAAAGACAGGCAGACTGGTAATCATGTCAGATATCACCAGACGAAATGTGACGGACAGGTAGGCACAAGCTTCCTCGAACAACAGTACCCCATCCCATTTACCTTACTATCACGAAACACAATGTCTGGTTGCGGCATTTCAAAAAACTAGCCATCAGGTAACACACGATAATAGATGGGACATTTTTACTTTCTTTAAAAACCAATGCAAACGAGACCATTTTTGACTTTTTTGAACGATACCGTCCATGAGTACCTAGATAGAAAAAAGCCTTTCATTTATCGTGCAACGACCAGAAATCAGCCGGCCCAGTCCTCGGAAACCTTGACGCAACCAATCCTTTCTGCAAATTTTCTCCGAAAACTGGTCCTTCCCTTCCGTTCTCCATCATTGACTAGAGCCGGATATATGTGTCGGAGCACATTTGTCTCAACCTATATGTGGGCGAATATAGGCGACCTATGGTGGGCATTTATTTGCCGCCGAGGCTGGGGAACGCAGACTCGTCCTTAGTGTTGATCTGCGCGCCCTGGGGACGGCCGCCGCGGGGGGCACCACCACGGGGGGCACCGCGGGCACCATCGCCGCGTCCGCGACCGCCACGGTCACCACGGTCACCACCGCGGGCACCGCCACGGGGACCACCACGGCCACCACGGGGGCCGCCGGCACCGCCGCGGGAAGAGCGCTCGGGCTCGACGTAACGCTGGTCGATATCCAGGAGCTGCTTGGTCTTGCGCTCACGCTCGCGCTTGGTCTTGCCACCGGTGCCGATCATGAAGTTCTCATCCTCATCGCGGGAGACCTCCTTGGCGGAAGCCCACTCCTTCTTGAGCTTGGTGCCCTCGTTGGCCTCGCGGACCTTGTTGTTGCCCTCGATGGCGAGCTTCTTCTCGGCAAGCTGGGCGAGGTACTCGGTGTAGGAGACCTGCTTCTCCTCGGGCTCCTCGGGCTCGAGGGGAGCGGCGGCCTCGGCCTCAGCGTCCTTAGCCTCAGCCTGGGCAATGGCTTCGCCGGCAACCTCGTCCTTGCGCTCAGCCTCACCCTCGGTGGCGCCCCAAGACTGGGCAGCCTGCTTCTCGGAGCCGCTGCGACGTGTAAGTACGTGGAGTGTTATGCGTGAATCGGTTCAAATTACCTGGCGAGACCCTTAGACTGGCGGTCATCACGCTCACGGGGGAAACGTCCACCACGGCCTAATTGTATTTGTTAGCACGCGAATGGTTCCAGCCTCTTCCCACGCATGCGACGTCGAAGCATGGGGACGGTGGAACATGACGAACCTCCACGGGCACGGGCGCCGTAGCCGCCACGAGGGCCGCCTCTAGCAGGCTCGTCGGTGGTCTTGCCACGGTTGCGGTCGCTGCCAGCACCGCGGTCACGGAAGGCTATGGGCGAGAGAAGTCGTGTCAGCGGGTCAAGGTGCAAAGCGGGGTCTGCATTCCCGAGGTCTGCAAATTGATGATGGAGCAGACTCACCAGCCTCGTTGCCAGAGGCGTTGTTGCGACGGGCACCACCGGCAGCGGGGGCACGGGAAGGGGCCTCGGGCTCGACGCCGCGCTTGGTTGAGCGCAGAGAGTTCTTCTCAACCGTCTTCACGGGCGCCTGAGGAGTGTCATCCTCGGCATCGTTGCCTGTTGTGGGAAGTTAGGGCATTGGCTCAGAGGTACGACTTGTCGGTTCGTTCATTCGGGAGACTCATACCGAGGAGCTCGAACAGGTTCTATACAGGTACGTTTGTTAGTTTCCATTGTCTTTGGAGCCCAAGGGCATGAATGGCAGGAGCGAAGCCAGAAAAAAAGTCGAGCAAAACAACATCGAGAAGGAGGCCGCCAACAAGGGGGATGACGAGGCCGACGAGGTCAACGCACAAACACACAACAACTCGGTCGACAAACAACTCGCACCAAAATAAAACGCAAAACGACATCGAGAATAGAGACAGAGGTTCAGCTTACCTTGCTTGCGACCGACATCTTGTCGCCTGGATTGTGGTGTACAATAGCGACCTAGTCTAGGATGATGATTGGGGTAAGAGACAAGGTTAGAACACCATGACCTGGCGGTGGTGGTGATGCTCAATGGGGGGGGTATGGGACCAATTGGTGCCGGTGCTCTGGTGATGTTACGGATGGGACCTGAGGTGAAGAAACTGCGCACGATGGGGCCACTGGGGTTCCGGGAGGGACAAATCACAGCACCACACACAGCGCAAGAGAGGGAAACGACGGGAAAGCACAGAGCAAATTAGGTCAGGCAGAAAGGGCACGCTGTGCTCCCTTCACCCAATGGCAGCCCGGAAATGGCTTCAGCACGGGCACTGCACACGCTGGGAGCAGAGCGCTGTGCCCTGTAGAGGGGGGAAAGGCCACTCCAGGGCACTGTCTTTTCCACCCAGCAAAGGGCAGTTTTGGTGTGAGATCATCGCTCTGCGTTCCCGGCTCGCTTAGCAATTCTTCCGACCTCCATTTTTGTGTGCCGTGCCTACCAATTTCAGTGTGAGCAACCTGCCGTGTTTAGGGTTCTAGACGCGCCGGCCTCTTTTCCCCCCTCACCTTAGGTACCTCACCATGTACCCTCTTACCTCACTTTTTGCCCATCACGCCGCCTAAACCTTGGTTCACCTTGTTAGCTCCCGGTCTCGACGGCTTCGGCCAATCTGAGGTCCCGGTCTCCGGTGCCGAATGGTCTCCAGCATCATTCGACCCGGCCAAACTTCGCTCTAGCATGACACAGATTCCAGGTCTATGCTCTTTGCGCGAAAACCGAGGAAGTGAGGACCATTGTGAGAAAGAACAATCATGAAGGAGGGGCGGGATCCTCGGCACATCCTCTGCGTAAGGCAACCAATCGTCCCTTATCTTGTGCCAGCCGGCGCCCCCGGCTCCGAAACGGAAACCAAACCGAGCACCGAACTCTCTCATCCGTATTCGCTGCCGCTGTCGTTGTTGCTTGTAGCTGCTGCCGCTGCTGCCAACAGTTCAACCGACATCGCCTGTTCCCCCTCCATAAAAATCCCAAGAGAGCATGACATTGTGCGGGGCAGGTTCGAAATGGTCAATGAGGGAGCTTGGTGCCCCTCTCTGCCCTGACCTCCCAGCTCTTGAAACCCAGCTCTCGGTGTCGAAGCACACACACGCACGCCGTATTCACCCCGCCGTGAGATGCGAGCCAAGCCTCCTCGGTGGCTACCCGAGGACGGCCAATACCATCTGAGCGCGAAGCTCCACAAAGCTGGGGAAGACGGCGAACTCAATCCCAATTAGGACTTTCGTCGACTCGAGCAACGCTTGCAGACAGACACACACCATTTCGCAAGCTTGCAGCCGCCTATACCCGGGTCTTCGGTGTGCACCACATGTTCCTATGATATTGTGAGATGTAGATATGTCCCAAGCTTGCAGTGATGCTAAGTGCTGTTACTCACTTGTAAGACGTAACCTGACATGTCACTCCGCCGTCGTTGTTCAGGACATGTCAAAACTTACGGCACAACATGACAGACAGGATTCGTTGATATTGCGGAGTCGATCATAAATCACTGATCCCAACCGTGAGCTTGATGTCTACCTCGATGCTTGGGAACCTCTTCTCTGAGATCAGAGACGATAGCAACTGTGTATCTCCAAATCCTCCCTTGGAAAGATCGACAAAGTGGTCGAAGTCCATCCTGTCAAGAACTTGACTTGGTATTGAATCGCGTCTCACTCGATATTCTTGAGGAACATCATGCCTTGCCCTTTCGCTTTGCCTCCAAGCTGTGAGAGAGAGAAAAGAAGAAACCCTCGGCACAAGAGGCATAGTATGTTGTTTGAGATATCACTGAAGCATTTCAGACAGATCATCTATGACAACAGCAAACCCAGCGGCGGAATCCCAGTACCGAGACATGGTCAGAGAGAGAAACCTCGCGTGTCTTCGCCCTCATCCGCAGTTATGGTTGCGAGTCGCCCAGCCAGCCATGGTCCTGCCCAGCAAGCTTCCCTGCCTGCCACCTAATCAACGTCCCGCCCCTCACATGACATCCAACTCAAACTTCCCAGCAACCCCAATACTACCTTACTTACCCCCATCACATCCAAACTCAAAGACAAAAATACAACCCTTGAACCAAAGACATCGAACGACATCCCCCCATCCCTTACAGATCTATAAACCAGACACAAAAGAAAATTGCCCAATATCATAGAAACATCAAAAAGAACGAGGTCAGACGGTGATCAGCTCTCGTGCAGTGCCAACACTGTGGATCGAACACAGGATCCCCGCATTACAAGTGCGATGCCTTACCACTTGGCCATGCTGGCGAGTTATGCGATGCATCGGCGAAGCCGCACGAGCCATCATCAATCCCTTTTCCCGAGTCGGCGGCGGCGGCGGCGGGGCGACCGTGTCTGACCTAGCCTCACTGCCTGCCTTCATACTGAGAAACAATTTTTTCTTCTCAGTCTTATTCCACTCCCAAGTTCCCGTGTTTTCAATCTGCGATGAGCTGGCTATTGCTTTCTCGACTCCAAGACTCCAAATATGATACTCAAGACCGCCTGGACCAAGTACTGTACCTCGGAAGTTCATTAGCATCCAATTTACCCCGGTATTAGTATCACGCCACACGCTCACTAGCTTCTATCTTAAGCGCAAGATCTAGTTCGTAGTCAACCCACCTTACCACGTGCTTACCTCGGTCAGAATAACGGGGAGGCCTAGAAGACCGCAAGGTGATCTTCCTCAACGCCCAAAAATTCCACGGAAGTGACAGAAGCCGGCACTCGTGGTAGTGAGAAGAAGCGTGGCCCGGACGATGATACAGCCTCTGGGAGACGGACTCCCATGAGGGTGCAGCGTAGCAAAGTGTCATAGGTCATTGTCTCCGTCACTATCGTTTCCATCAGATTTCCAAAAGCATCACGACCAGATATGAGTATGAACATGAGCCGAAGCCCGATTATATTGAGAAGACTAGCCATTAAATACCGATAAGGTTTCAACCATCTAAAGAGTGTAAAGCTGCCGCCAATGCCTTTTTTAATTAAAAATCAAACTCCCCATCTATCACATCTACTCGTGAGCATCATCCCCAAGAGAGCGAGCCAAGCAAACTCTCTAGTAGCCAGTGCCGAAAGAACCGCACTTGCTGGCCGCATAGGAGTTGCGGTTCTCAGAAAGGCAGTCGGTGTACTGGACGGTGCACTTGTTGATGGCGACGCTGAAGTTGTCCGAGAAGAACCAGCGCTTGGCGAAGTCGGGAGCGCGAGCGTAGACGGCAGCATCGTCGCGGCGGCCGCGGCGGTTGTTCCAGGTCTTGCAGCCCTGGGCGTAGGTGTTCTGGCAAGCGTTGTACTGCTCCTTGCAGGCATCCTGGCAGACGCTGGCGACGCTGCCGCGGCCAAAGGACTTGCAGAGCTTGGTGTCGGCCTGGAGGTAGAGCTTGAACTGGTTGCCGGCCTGGAAGTCGACGGCAATATCGTTGCAGGTAACGATGGGGATCTCGATGCCACCGACGGGGTTGCCAGGGCCGTATCCGAACCACCAGCTGGAAGGCTGCTTGCAGACACCGGTAGGAGGAGGAGGGACGACGGTGACCGGAGTAGAGGTTGTGGTGGGCTTGGAGGGGCAAGGGAAGGTAGACACGGAAGTGGTACCCGGCTTGTAACCCTTGGGAGCCTTCTTGGCGAAGCAGTCCTTCTTGGAGCAAGATCCCTTGCCCTTGCAAGAGCTGGAGCAGTAGCTGCTGACATCGCTGCACCAGGCCTTGAAGTCCATGCAGCTGGCAGAGCCGGGCCATCCAGCGTTCTTCAGGCAGGCACTGACCTGGAGCTTGCAGCTGTTGTGGGCCTTGGTGCAGCTGTCGTTGTCGTCAAAGTCGGGGAGGTTCTTGTTGCACCAGCTGCCGCAGCCATACTCGCAAGTGGCGGGAGTGACAATGGTGGTAGTGCAGACAGCGGGAGCAGTGGTAGTTGCAATCGTAGTGGGAGGCTTAGACGTGGTGACGGGAGGCTGAGAAGTGGTAACAGGAGCAGTGGTGGTGGAGGGGGGAGCCTGGGTAGAGACGGTGGTCGAGGTGGTGGAGGTAGTGGGAGGAATGCTGATGGATGGGATAGTGGCCGAAGTGCTGATGGAGATGGTGGATGAAGACGAGACCGAGTTGACGGGAGGGACGTATCCGCAGGGCTCAAGAGACTTGAGCTTGCTGGCGACGTAGATCTCCATGACGGCAGAGCCACCGCAGTTCTTGGTGCTGTCGCCGTTGCAAGGCTTGTTGCACTTGTCCATGGTAGTGGCGGTGGTGTAGTTGCCCATCACGACACCGCAGTAGCACTCACCGCCGTACTCAACACCGGCAAAGGCGTATCCCTCGCTGGCACAAGCGGCGAGACAGGTGGAGGGAGTCATAGTGGCAGAGTCAACAGAGTCCTGGCGCTCAGCAATGGTGCGGCCATGGTTGGTGTCGTCGGTGTAGCAGCCAATGGAGGTGTAGTCGTCGACGGTGGCACCGCCAGAGGGGAACGTGGGATCTTGCCAGACAGAGAAAGCCGAGGGACCACCGCAGGTCTCGGAGCTGTTGCCAGTGCACTTGTAGTTGCAAACAGACTCGTCGAGGGTAGGGCTGTTGATGGTAGCGCTGCAGTAGCAGACGCCGTAGTAGGTGAGACCGGCGTAACGGTATCCATTACCTGTCATCGTGTTAGGCTTTCGTGTCAAATATCAAGCATGGTCAGGACGGCTTACCCTTGCAGGCATCAACACATGTCTCGATGGTCATGTTCTGCTGGTTGAGACCGGAGCGGAAATCGAGGGCATTCTCGCCCTTGGTACCCTTCTCCTGGAAACATCCCTGGTAGGTGAAGGGTTGGAACTCCTCGAGGCAAGGCGGCAGCTCGGTGGTGGTCGCGGTGACCTGGTTAAAGAGGGTGGCAGCTGCGAGAGCAGCCAGGGCCCGGATGATGGGAGCCATTATGAACGATGGTGTGTATTAGTTATTAGAAAGAATGTAATATCTCTTTGCAAGAAACGAGTGTGCAAGAGCGAGCGAATGTCTTCCCGGATTGGGTTGTGAGTGATGAGCTGGAAGAAAGACGGGGATGAGAGGCATCGAGGCCCATCATATATAGTGAAATTTGATCATATCGGGCAGCTCAAGATTGATTGATAGACATCCCGGCCGGCAGAGTCACAATCAGGGGAACAACCTCAACGGGTGATGCGAGTAGCGGCCGATAGAGTGGTGTCAGGTTGGACGGGGGCAGAGCGCCACGACTAGAGCGTTAGTGTGATATCTAGAGTAAAGCATGGAAGATACCCAGCGTGAGCGGTGCCTTGGCAGACATTGTTTGGAACTGTTGGTTTGCATA